CTGATTTTTCTATGTTGTGATATGGATGACGCCATTAGATCGTTGGGACGTTTAGTTCAAGTCGACGTCTCTTCAAATCGAGTACACCCATAATTAAACTAATGTCGGCGTTAAACCGATATAACAACGGACGCATGTAATGAAGCGAGAAGTTCAAACAAAAGGAACGCACCAGACACTGTTAATGTGGTCAGAGACAGGAGGTGACGCAACAAGTAGCATAATGATATTCAATGACTGATTACGAGTAGATTTCTATATTTAATCGGTAAACGAGAGGACTAAACATGAAAACGTGTATATCCGTACATACGAAGAAAACATGAACTGTGTACATGTATGTTTACACAGTGAACAGACTGTTCCAAACAGATACAAGTACATGTAATTAAAAAAGCATAATGTATTTTGTTTATTAATTAGGTTTTAGATAAAACATGTTTGCTTGCCTATTTCGTATGTTTGATACATTGGGTTTTAATTATTAACCAGTATGAGGAAAAACGTTTTCCTGGGCACTAAATGATGCTGTGGCACATTATAATTTTAAAAAAGGGACACATTGGTTGCATTGTTGTTATTTGAACGATAAATGGTTTTCTAAAGCTACCAATTGATGCAAATAATATATATATATATATATATATATATATATATATATATATATATATATATATATATATATATATATATATATATATATATATATATTTCAATGGCATTAAAGTGGCATATAACTTTAATCAATAATGTGATTTTTAAGATTCAAACTTAACTGATGATTTTACTTATCATGGCAAGAGATGGAGAAGATGGCCTTTCCCTTATGTAACCTAGACCTTAGTCACCATACATGTAGTATGTTATAGTTCGCAGGCACATGAAATTGCTGGCCTTCAACTGTGTGCAAGTAAATTAATAATAATGATGATGATCAGACTTGGCAAAAACCTTTTTTTTTTTTTTTTTGTCAATTTAACACCTATTTTGAGGTGAGGGAGCAAACGGTATGGGGCGTAACTTCATTCCTGAACGAAAATTGGCAGAGTTGACCAGGGGAGTAAAGGTTACAATCCCGTGCCGTCATTTTGGTTTAAATGTACGTGTTATCGAATTATGATCCCCTAATTACAGTTTTTCATTACGCAAAGCATTATTTTGCTTTATTAAACGAGAGAATCTTAAAGGGATAATAACTCTTTGTATGATATCTTTATTTCACAATAAAAACATTGTGAACAACTCATAGGAATATAATATATTCTGTTTTACCACAAAAACAGCAGTTAAAGCTATTATTCTGAGCTTGTCTTCAGATCACGTGACTTCCATTGATGGCTGTACTCTGTTATAATCTCTTAAGAGATTTTAACAAAAAACCAAACTTTTTAGAAAAAAAACAGGGACTAACTTTGAATGTAAAAATGGATTCATTAACCATTGGTAAGTATGGGAAAATTGTTGTTTACTCCAGGAAAATTCATTTTTTAGCCAAAACGAAGAGTTATTATCCCTTTAACTAAGACTTTGAAGAAAATTCGCTGGCGGGGTTTTGGAGTAATAAATGGTGTCATTAAATCGGCGTTAAAACGGGGATCGTGGGTCCTCAGGTAAAAGAGAAATTTGAGAAACCGATTTTTCAGTTTTTCAAAATCACTATTATGACGCCCACCCGTAAGATGACATGTGTAATTGTTAACTTTTTTTTTTTTTTTTTTTTTTTTTTTTTATTCACGAAAAATTAATACAAGACATGTACAACACAANTAGTGTAATTGTTAACTTATTTAGTCACTGAACACTGAAAATATATTTATTACCCGAAAGAATGTGTGTATGGCAGTAAATAAGGAGTTTTGGGCGAAGGGTGACAATATCCTTAAAGTTTATTATTTCAAAATTCTTCTTTCATTTGATTTGCTTTTACCTATTACGATATATATACGAGACCGGCAAGATGTCGACTCGAAAATCTAGGAATATTAAACCACCCTTTTAAATATCAACATGATCATTCCTGATCGTCTTTTAAAATACATTTGCCTATTTTATCACGAGATTTACCATACCTTTCTCCTTGTATTTCAGAGTTTATTCTGAATGACACAAGATTGGTATTTCTTTATGATACAACTAAAAAAACTTCCCGAGTATTTTCGTCGCATGGGCCATAAAAATATGCGAGAGTAAGAATTTAGCAAGGAAACGTTCGATTATCTGAGAAATCCAAGATACGATAGGTTTTAAGATCACCTTTCCCCATCCAATAGGCTTATTTACTCAATAATCGAAGATAGATCCGTTTCATTTCATCAATTGCTTAATTTGCTGTCTCATCCTCAAAAATTACCACTCCATTATACTTTGAGATGTATCAGATGAGGTCATATTTAACCCAAAACAGACTTTGCCGCTTTGTCTTCCGAACATTTTGTTCCAGTCCGACTGTAGTCCTACCCTCTACCAGGCCCGCAGAAAATATGGGTACCCTTCTCTATCGCTACCCTGTGATTTTTGGCCAGATGGAAGCAATTAAATCTGAATGCGCACAGATGGCATTAGTACCCGCTCTTTAGGTAGTTACTACAGGTGATTCCTAAGTTAGCTTTAATCTGAAGTAACAAGCTATTCAAAAGGGCCTATTTATATCTGTCACAAAAGAGCAAGTGATTAAATTCAGATCAATAAACTGCCTTGTTTGTTGTCAGGGGGGCTTAACAGTACATAATTAAGTGACAATTCCTGAGCAGTTATGCAAACGATTACCAGCGACTTCAGCACAGGACACAGTTAGAAGATTGACCATATTTAGCCAGAGAAATTATCTGTGAATATCTATGGAAAAACCAACATGTGGCACTAGAGGCTATACCGCAGTCCCCTTGTATTCCCCATACCTCTATGATGCCGCTCAGAATTAGTTATGTCGAATTAGCTTGTGAGCACTAACTCCACGGGGACTCTCGATGAGACCAATCAAATTAACAGGCTAGCACACCTCCTATTGTTTCCAACGCAATTGCATAATCACCAACATCTTAAAGATGAGGTCCATGTGTAAGATTAGTGTGTGCACTTAACATGTTTTACCCACTTATCATCTTTAAATAAAGTTTATTTTTAATATTATTTTTTACTGTAACATCTCTATATTCTACTCAAGGAAATTTTCATACATTGGGTGTCAGGCTTTGGAAGTATAAGCAAAAAATGAATATTCTGAACATCTGTCTTGGTTGGCGAAAAAGGTAAAACCTAACAGTAGTTTAGTTTTTGATAGTTCACAATATGTATAGTGAACACATTGGTACAAAAACACCATTTTCATTGGAGTAAATAAGCTGGGGTTGTTGTGTTGGTTGTATATAGAGTCTTATAAAACCCAGTGTGGCTTTTTTGTCCAGGTATTCAGTAGTGTATAAGCTGTTTTTAAGACTTTCTGAATGAAAAATTGCCAGTATATGTAAGCTATGTTACATCCTAGCAAACCCAATATCTGAACTATTTCTAATATGTTTTTAAGTAAGAGATATGCTAATATAGGTCCCAAACTCCTTTGTATAACGGCGTCAGCGCGTTGTTGGATCTTAATTTTCATTAAAATAGTTAATGAAGAGTATGTACTTTATTCATCAACCACGCTGTACTGAATGGTGTCTGCTGGCCCATCCTCATATTTAGGTCTAAGCGCTCAAATTATTTGAAAAATCCTTGCTCTCCCTTTGGCCGAACTCAACTTTAATTTGTTATAAAAGAAAATTATGCATTAATATTAACTCCGTACCGTCATCTGCATGACCTATAAATATTCTTGGATATCTGCACGTCCACGATACTGGGCAACAACAATGGATTATCATCTTTAAAGGTTTTTTAAAATATCCCTATGCGTTGGATTACAGTAGGGTGCTTTCAAGTGAAAGGGAATGGATTTATTATAACAAACGATTTTGTGTTTCTAAACATTGCTCTGTATTTTAAACTTTTTAATTCTTAGCAAGACCATGGACTACATGCAGTTTTTCGGCTTTACCCGAATACTTTAAAGTTAAGAGAGGGTGGGCTAGACAATAAAACTGATTATACATTGACTGCGCCTTAGCCAGCATCCCCGCTGAGATAGATCGATCCTGCTAGTACTATAACTTCTATTCTGAAGACAGCCTAAGGGGGCGTTCCCGTAATAACTCTATCGCGCTAGCTGGAACGATCTTATTACTCGGGGTTTCTCGCTAAATTGCATTCTGTTTAAACGCCTTAAACGTCTGGCACACCACTTGAAACTTAAAGTACTTGGGTAAGTCGGGAAAACTTTGTGTTTCATGATGTCGTTCATGTTGCTTTGCGTGGGCGTGCCTGAAAATTAAACAGATTACATTTAATCCGCTTTAGCGAGAATCCCCGCTGAGATAGATCGATCTTGCTAGCGCGATAAGGGTTATAGGAACACAGTCTTAGTTTCATGTTTAAATTAACCGACTTTAATTTTCTTTTGTATTGATGATGGGTTTAGGATATCTAAATCAACATGATGGCCTTATGTATGCATATGGTAACCTTTATTTTCAACAGGGATTAACAACGATGATCAGGTCTATGGTGATATTAAGATTAGGATTAACTGGCGGTGCTAAGGAAATCAGAAAACAAAACTAAGATGAAAGAAATGCTTTATACAGACTGCCTTATAGATTTTGTGTGCTGTTTTATGTCAACCTATACGTGCCATGAATGATCTTTTTGTTCAATAGGCTATTTTCTTTCAATAACCTCAGTAGTGTCAAAGGGCATCACAGATTTGTCTACGCAGCTTTTCAGTGAAACATTCAACCTCGGTGACGGCAAACAAACATGCCTTTTTTGTGTAGGCTGCGCGCTGTCGTTTGTAAAGAAGAAAAGCCGTAATGCCTTTGTTACCTTCATATTAAAATAGCAGTAACGGTGTGGGAGGCGCTTTCAGTCATTTTATATTACTTGAGGATCAAGGCAGTATAGATTTGCACAAGTTTGAGCCGTAGTTTCGTTTTTGATGAGCCACTGAATTAAGCTACAGGGGTATATGTAACTACAGTATGTCCGATGACCTGTTAGCAATTGCTCCAGTTGCTTGTTGTTGCATAGGATGCGTCTCCGAGTGTTGCTTGGATTCCTGTCGGACTATCGTGTTTATTGTGGTCGTGGGGGTGAAGATAGCCGATTTGGTGTTCAATATTCTGATCTTGATTGAAACTATGGACGAATTAAATACTGTAAATGCATATATGTCAACAGACAGTAACAGTTCTGACACTGATGACTGGCAAGCAAACTGGAATACAAGTTTTGAAACTGATATCTGGAATACAGGCCAGAACACTACTTGGAACACTACTTGGAATACGACAAATAATCGGACATATTGTATATTTGACATTGATTACGATATATCCGAGAAAGTAGATCTTCTCGACACCCTGCTCACAACATATAAGATTTATATCGGCATCGCAGGGTTTATACTATTGGTCTACATGACGATGTGGTTGTTAATAGCCTGCAAATTTAAGAAAAATAAAGGTATAGGTAATATGTGGAAAGCATTGGGCAAATTCCAGATCTACCTAGCATTGGCCTACGATATCCCCATGAATACAATAGCCATAGAACTGCAGTGGGTGAAAGGAGGTTCAAGCGGCATTGAGTGAGTACTGGGGTACACTGAAGAGAGGAAGGGGGTTTAGTGAGTACTAGGGGGGGTTGCACTGGGGGTACACTGAAGAGTGGAAGGGGGTTTAGGTCTAGGTGGCAGGTTTGTCAGAGAAAATACAATACAGACATCACAGATATGATCCACTATGATGGCCACATTCAGAACAGTGGACTAACTAGTCTGAGTCCAAACATGTCGACCCACTACAAAGCTTGCCGTCTAATCCGCTAATAGACGCTGAATAGATTCCCCGTGGGGAAGTATTCAAGTGGGTCGGCCATATTTGACCTTCGGACTTAATTGTTAGTCCACTGTTCTGAATGAGGTCTATGGCAACCACAATAATATTGTCCCTATTTTAAGTACTTACAAGTACCACGCCACCGAAAAAGGCTTTTTTTACTTGGGTTGTTCTACTTCAAGTGCAATGTACACATAGCAAATGTTAGAAAACCCTCAAGCCTAGATTACATTTGAAAAGCGATGCCTGTACGCATTTTTATTGTCTTTTTATTCATAACCATTGGAATATTTAGCATCACATGCTAGCATTTTATCTAACAGTTGCTACTTGTAACCAGCGTTAATGTTGATTGCAATTCGTTTAAGTCAGCTCCTTGGTGAATATGGTTTTGAACAAACCCTCAACAAGAAAACATATACCTATGCTTATGTCACTCAGACAGTTGATATGCTTGGTTCCCATATGTGTATATGTTACTTATCACCTGTACATTTATGAAATGAGCTGCGCTTTAAGTGTAAGATTTAAAACACACCTAATGTACATAAATTACTTCCTATTAAGCGTATCTGGGATTAAGGAATATGTGTTTCCTCCATCCTAGTGTACCACGTATTTTCTTTGTCCGAATCACAACAAAAAAGAAGGCAACAAAGAATGACAGTTGTTCCAGATTTGGCCAAACAAGGCCACTTTCATTATACATGTATAATCCAACTTGTCTAATTATTTTAACAATGTAACACATATGGTCTGTATTAAATCTCATGGCATTAGAGATAATAATAATAATATATATATATATATATATATATATATATATATATATATATATATATATAATTCAATAAGACTCATCATCCTTAAATTTACGAGTCACCAAAAGTTATTATTTACGCACAAATTTTGTACAAATTTCGTACAAGGGGTTGCAAAGAAGCCATAATTTTGGCTACATGTACATATGTATGAGCCCAAGCGCACTAGGCAAGGAAGACCCCACAAAAGAAAGCCAGGGAAAAGTAGGGAAATAGTAAAATGTCATTACGCCCGCAAGACTCAAATAGAAGCTCATCTATTAAAATGACGTAAATGGTAAACAACACGACTGCCCTCAGAAGGTAAACTGTAATGAAGCAGTGATGACCGACTGAGAAATAATATGGACAAAAGCCAGCAATTTTAAGCTCTGGATTTTTAAGACAAAATTATAATAATAGGCTGAACCAGTAGATGAATGCAATGTCGACAAAAATGCTATAATTTTAATTGATTAAAATCAACTCCTGACGAGAATCAGAAGTCGGGGCTCCAAGCTATGGAGGAATTAAAAAAACGCTTAAACATAGATTAATGGCTTTTTTGTTTCCCATTTTGCCACAAGAGTTATGGAAAACATATTAAGTGATTAGCGTGTCAATTTCATTATTTCAATTCACGTCTAGCAATTTTCTATTTCAGCTGTTGGTTGTGTTCCAAGGATCCAACTTGCTCGGACTTAGAGCCTCTACGCCTTGTTAGTCCCTTGAAGCTCCTTTCAGACAACCAACAAGAAAGAACGGCAGCAGATTTGTGGTTAAGTCTCGGAATATCGTCGCTGTCTACGCTTTTTGAAATGATGACTTTAGCAAAGCCATACTTTTTTAGCACATCTTCATGTTACTTATTATGTTGCGTAAATGATAAAGGCGATACACCTGGCAAATGCTGCGTTTTATGGTATTTATTTGCTGGAATTTTCGCAGGGATTCATGTTCAAATGACAAATATACTTCTTTTGTATTTCCACCTGTTGCCGCAGGGGGACTTCCCCTGGCAGTTTCAGTATACAGTTGCTGTTGTGTTGGCAGTGGCTTTTAGTTGCGTCACTGGGGATTTCTTTCTGACATGCTGTGGGTCCTGCTGTTGGTGTTGGTGCTGCAAGGATTCCTCCTCTCCTTCTTACACAAAAGCATTAGCATACTTTTTTTTCGTTTTAAGTTTTATTTTAATGGGTGTGGAGTTATTTAAAATATTGTTTCCCCTTAATCACCCCAAAGACAGTTACATTATGATCATGGTAGTTGGAGGTGCTTTTGTACTTACTTGTATCATGTTGTTATTGGTAGTACTTGCCGGCTCGTGTAGCGATTCAGAGACATGCATGTCATATGTGGATCTACTTGTTAACTATGAAACAGCTTTTAATAAAGTGGGTCCACTCTTAGAGTCTCAAAACCAAGAGAGCTGCTAAAATGGTGTTTTCTTGATTGGAAAACGTACAGAATTGGAAGTAAATTTGAACATTCATAGGTAGGCCTGCATACGAATCAGTTATGAGAGATGGAGAGAGAAATGACGTTCTGATACCTTTTAGTGCAAAATGTACGACCGCACTGCCCTGGATATCATTATATTTAGTTTTAGTTACATAACCGTGTTTATGTCTTGGTAAATACTGTATTGACATGCATTAGAAAATGTACATACATATACATGTATTTGAGAGCATTTTTTTGTGTTGCATAGACTAATGAATTTGATTTCCTGACCTGTAAACCATCACATTTTTGCCAGAAAACCCTAGATAAGCATAATTAAGATCTTTACCTTCTTGGTAATAATCATGTGTATATATTGTCCGTGTACCATTTGAGGATTAAGATTACACTTTGAATTTAGCGCTAAAATACAATAGACGAGTGTGATAATTACAGGGTAGTAAAACGATTGTAAGGGCCCCTTTACACTGGACGGCGTCCTTTCTGCGTCCAGCAGTACGACCCCATTTGAGAGTTAAAAAATTATAATACTTTACGTGCCGACAACTGGCCGATCATTGAGCATTCATTCTGATACAAAATCAATGCTCGTGCCTGCTTATTAAGACCACAGCGATGCCAAATTTCATGGTCGCAGAAAGGACGCAGAAAGAACGCCGTCCAGTGTAAAGGGGGTATAAGCGGAATATGGTGACTGGCCTAATCCTCCAGTCTAATGGGTTGAAACGCCCCTTTTGAGTACTTATGTTAACAATCTGTCTCCCGTAGCGAACTGTCCCTTTGTTCAATAGTCTTTAGTGTCACGAGATGGTACCCAATAACAATGTTGTAAACTCAGCTTACGCAAGATAAAACCGGCCACTTGCATGCAAAATTTCAAATGTTTCTATTCAGCCGTTGCTGAAATACGGACATTTTTTGGACAGAACCATGTTTCGTCAAAGCCAAGCTGTGAACAGCCCAATGAGCACTACTCAAATTAGTCGCTGCCTATGACTACATACTTATCCATTCAAATATCTTATATGAGATTTGAGTTTTTTAAGGATCAGTTTTACCTGGGCATACTTTTGAAGCTGTCATATTCCATATTTAATCTCAAGTCTGAATCTCTCATATTGCTAATTGCATGTATAGTCAATTTAGAGAAAATGTGGGAAATAAAAGTTGACGTGTTTTGAAAGTTATGTTCTTTGTTAGTTTCTAATGCCGATTATATTTTAAATTGAAAATTGTGACAATTTTTAAGATCGCGCCTCCTAAGCCCTTATATTAATCGTAGACTGCATTTCACAATCCCGGACAGGTATTATTCAGAGGGTTTACGCTGACTGTGAGGTAGCATAAAATGTAATGTTTAATTTGAACATGGAAGCAGCACAAACCATGAATGGGATCTGTTTGAATAAATGTTTTAAAATCCTAAAAAAGAATTTTCTCGACCTGGCCTTTGGGTTACTCATGAGTAATTGCACACCGCTGGTTACAAAGTTATCGTACAGGGCTAATGCATCAGTTTGATGCCACAATTCAATGTCAATGATATAGATAAATAAAGATATAAAAATGGAAAGAAAGTAGGAGAAAAAACGAAAGAAAGATAAAAAGATAGCAAGACAGACACAAAGAAAAAAAACGTAAAGAAATTCGAACGGCACACAGATCAAATGCTATCTAAGCCTAAAACCTGGGTCACACTGGGGAGTATTCTAGACCAATTACTAACTGGACTAGACTGGGATCTGGCTTGTGACATATATATATATATATATATATATATATATATATATATATATGCTATCATTTTGGACTTAGAACTATAAGAGTGTCGCCCCTATTTTGCCGTTTAATATTTTAGCGGCTGACAAAAAGATGAAAATGGTGTTTTTTTCTTACTCGTTCCATCACAATCGTGTACAGACCAGCTTCATATTTGAAATAGCTTAATGAAATTTACCAAGCTTAAAGAAAACACGAGACGGTTTACTTTAGTACTAAAAGTTTTCATGATTTGTCAAAAGAGTGATCATAATGCTAATAATAAACAGCTGATCTGTGCGCTTGATCTCGAGAAACATTAAAATCGATTGCCTGTCCGCAAGGGAAAACAATAGATCTACCTGTAAGTCACGTGGTCTGTGACGCAACAATTGATGAATAGGACCCAAACCACAAGCTAATTTGCCCCTCTGAAGTTGGAACGGAATGTTAAACGAAGTAGGGCAATTTATGGCACAATCTCAACAAACTGGTTGAATTATTTCCTCGAAGAATAGATAACGCCATCCGAGTTTGTGGCAGCTTCACGTTAATCTATGTGTGTGATTGTATTCTTTAGGGCATAGCTTTACCTTTGGAAGGCTATTGTATTCCTATTCAAGTCATGATTCCGTTGACATGACTTTTACTTCCCCCTATAAATTTTCGATATTTTACCAAAATTATTATTGTTCACCGGAAAAAAATCCAAAGAGAAGAAAATCTCCAAATACGCAGTTATTGAAAATAAAAAATGATATTGATAAAACAATATTGAGCTGGTTTAATAATGCATAAAGAAATCGCAAATGCAAATTTTGTAACAAAAAGTCATTTTAGGAGAAGTATGAGACAAAATGTGAAATATTAGTCAAATACAATGTAAGAAGAGGAGGGCTTTTAAAAGTATGCAATGTCTGATGTATGGATTCAAAAGTGATATCCAGTCAAACTGGTTCGTCTATACCCCCTCAGCACCCCTTCCTCTTCCTAAGATACATGTCACCCCTAGACACGAAGTCAAACGAGTTAATTTTCTAAAGGCGCCTTTTGGCGGACGATTGAAGGGGCATACAAACCGATGAATTGAAGAGTGCTATTATAGTTGTTCAGATGATATAAGAATGGTGTCTAAAATTGGTCAACTTAAATAATCATCATCCTTAGATGTGTATATTTTTCGTCAAAACACGATTTCAACTTCTTTTTTCGTCCGTTTTTCGCGTTCAGTTTTACACTCTGCTGTCTTCGAAAACGGTTCATTCACTGCGCACGTACCTTTTACATGTACCACAAATACTATCAGTACTTCCAAACCAGTGTGGCCATGGTATATCATTGGACGTTGTCTCAGTGCAACGTTTAACATCTTATTTACCGCTGTTGACATGTCATTGGCCTCTCTATAATAATATTACTTTTACTCGTGCAAGTTTTGTGTCGTACTGCATTCTTCTTTTTGTCCCTGTTATGTGCTTATAAGTTTTTTCTTCGCATCGTCCGTTGCATCTTGGACACTCGTAATTTTGTCCATGGTTGCATTGACTTGTTAAATTAAGGCAGTCAGGTGGTACGCTTGCTCACTCGGCCTTCACTCGGCCCGTTCATTAATATGCTAGCATCTTAGTCACGTGACATGCAATGTTCGTTACAATAGTGGGATGTACATGCAATGTTTAGTCCTTTATTTCTACGTACTGGAAGCGTGTAAGACTTAAAATTTAAAATAGATATTGTTTATTTGGAGTGTTTGATGCTGTGAAAGTTCTGTTATTGTAAATAATTTCCAACTTAAACTGCTTTGTTTGCCCGTTTAACTAATGTCGATGTTAACCCGATGTAAGAGACATCTATTGGTATGCAATAAATTTAAGTCAAGGCAGTAGGTTATGGCAACAAATGGAGACCTTAATGGTGCGCACATCATGTATTTATTTATTTATTTATTTATTTATTTTTTGTACAACTGCGTCAGCGCGTTGTTGGATCTTAATTCTCATATACAGAGCTACTCAATAGTATGTGCTTTATTCATCAACCACGCGATACTGAATGGTTTCTGCTGGACCATCCGCATATAAAGGTGCAGGTGCTCAAATTACTTGGAAATGTATCAGTGTACTTCTCTGAGCTTCAATCGACTTAAGCGATGTACACCTTGCTAACCCGTTGGCCGAACTAAAATTCTCTTTAATTTGTTTACAGAAGAATAATGTGCATTGTCTTTAACTCCTTACAGTCATGATGGTTAAAATTAATCCTCCAAACATGGCAACCTTTCTGTTCAACAGGGATTTACTACGATGAACAGATTTAGACTGGTATTAAAATTAGGCTACTCTGATGTTGCTGGGTGAATCAAAATACGAAATTAAAGATGAAAGGTTTTGTCGGCCTCAGCAATTTTGTATACTTTTTTGTGTCAATGTATATGCACCATGAATAAATTTTTGTTCAAAAGTTTATGCTCTTTATTCAATAACCTCACTAGTGTTAAAGGGCATCATGGCTTTGTATACGTAGCTTTTCAGTGAAAAATATTCAACCTAGACAGAACAAATACATTTTGTTTGTAGGCTGCGCGCTGTCGTTTGTAAAGAAGAAAAGTCGCAATGTTTTTGTTACTTCATTTTAAAAAGCAGTAACGGTGCTGGGGGCGCTTTCAGTCACTGTTCATTACATAAGATTTGCAAGAACTGGCACAATTCTGAGCTGTAATTTCCTTTTTTTTTTTTATTAACAGCTAATTATGTCGGAGGATGTGGTAGCTGCAGTTACTCCACTTGCTTGCTGTTTCATTGGGCGCTGTACAGAGACTTGTTTGGGAAGATTTAGAGCATCCGTGTTTATTGTGGTCTTGCTTGTGAAGATAACTGATTTGATATTTAATATTCTACTCATGCTTGAAACTATGAACGAAGTAGAAGAAATAGATAGATATATGTCGACAGGCAATGCAAATTATAAAACAAAGAACTCGAACACTAACGGGAACGGTACTTGGTACACAACGGATGATAGGACATATTGTTCTTTTGACATTGATTTCGATATATCCGAGAAAGTGGACCTTCTCAAGACACTGCTCATAGCATTCCAGGTTTACATCGGAGTGGCAGGGTTTCTTTTAATATTTTACTTATCTTCATGGAGTGTAGTAAACTGCGTGTTGAATGATGAAACGAATAAAATCACCATATTAAAAACATTGGGAAATTTCCAGATCTACCTGGCATTGGCCTACGATATCCCCATGAACACAATGGCCATAGAGATGCAGTGGCTGCATGGCGGATCAAACGGCATTGAGTGAGTACTGGGGGTTGCTCTTGGGAAGGGGGAATGCTTGGCGCATGAGTTACATGAGGGGCAGCCTTCATAATCAATCAATTGTGGACCCCACAGTAGTGTCTGAGTAGCTAGGGTATTGGTCCTATTAATACAATTATATGCTGTGCTGATTCTGTTACAGCTAACGTATGGATTTTCTATAAATATTTAAACTGCGCTTTGTGTCATTACTAGAACGAACGTATCGTTTTTTCCCCCAGAAAATGGCCGAAAGGGTTATTTTGTCCAATAGGTAACAGGTTTTTTTTCGTTGTCAACTTTAACACATGCAGTATAATATGTTCATGTGCAGTTTGCTGACCTAATGTTTGCACCACACATTTAAAAAGTCAATTAGATGGTTCTTTTACTGGCAACATGCATAATTCTTTCCTTTTGTGATATTCGATGAAAAACAAACTAAAAATTTCCAAAATAAGTAAAAACTATGTATTTAAAGCTTTGCATTTGTGACAGTAACATATGCTCCTATTTGGAGTAAGACTATAAATTATTATTATTATTATTATTATTATTATTATTATTATTATTATTATCCATAGTTCGTGAAGAGTGAAACTTTGATGCGAACTCCTTCACGTGGGATCCTTAAATTGTCAAACATTGTTTTTAATCCGTTCATTATGTATTTCTAAAAATGTACCTTAGGCATTATTTACACCTCTATATTGGGTTTGGGTGCTAAACATTGTAAAAATGATGATTTTGTCAGGAGATAAACATACGCTGATACGAGAACCCTTTACAGGCAGACTTACAACACACTTGCCGCACCCGCACTGCACACATATTTTTCATTTGCTAAAGGCTACTTCCAAACCCGTCAATTCCATATTAATCAAATAAGGTTTTTCTTACACTGTAACATTTCCAAAGATAAAGGGGATATTTTCATCATTTCAGTTGATGGCTTACAGTTAAGATGCCAGTTTTCTATTTCAGCTGTTGGATGTGTTCCAAGGATTCAAATTGCTCGGACGTGGAGCCTCTAAGCCTTGTAAGTCCGTTGAAGATCTTCTCAGATGATCAAAACGAGAGAGCAGCGGCCGAATTTTGGTTAACTCTCGGATTTTCGTCTCTATCCACGTTTGTAGACATGATCTCTGTAACAAACCCGTACTTTGTAAGTGTATATTTCTACTATTTCTTATGCCGCTCAAAAGGCAGCAACGATGAACCCGGGAAATATTGCTTGGCATGCTACGCTTTTTGGGGAATTTTCGCAGGGGTTCATATTCAAATGACAAATCTTACTCTTATGGCATTTCACCTATTACCCCAAGGCGATTATCCTTTGGCGTTTCAATGGAGCATTTCAGTGCTGATGACGGTAGCATTAGGTTCCGCATATATGGATTGTTTTCTTACATTCTGCGGTTGTTGTTGTTGGCGTTGCTACTGTGAGGGATCTACAGGTATGACAAGTAGAATAGCATATCCATTATTTATCTGGAATTTGGTTTTCTTCGCCATGAACCTAGTAAAAACTATTCTCCCATTAACAAACCCTAAAGAGAGCTACATAATGGTCGTTGCACTTGGAGGTGGCTTTATATTATTTTGGATAGCTATAATATGCTCATTACTTATTTTTGTATGTTGCGATTTAAAGGAGTACATAACATCGGTAGGACCTATAGTTAAAGTTGACTCTTCAAATAAAGTACACCCATCGACAGCGGCATACACATGTAATGAAGCGAGAATGTCAAACACAAGAAACGCACCGATGTTGTCCAACACTGTTAACGCACCAGTGGGACCACAAACTGTTAACAGACCGATGTGGTCAGAAACTGTTAACGGACCGATGTGGTCAGAAACTGTTAACAGACCGATGTGGTCAGAAACTGTTAACGGACCGATGTGGTCAGAAACTGTTAACAGACCGATGTGGTCAGAAACTGTTAACGGACCGATGTGGTCAGAAACTGTTAACAGACCGATGTGGTCAGAAACTGCTAACGGACCGATGTGGTCAGAAACTGCTAACGGACCGATGTGGTCAGAAACTGTAAACAGACCGATGTGGTCAGAAACTGTTAACGGACCGATGTGGTCAGAAACTGTTAACAGACCGTTGTGGTCAGAGACTGTTAACGGACCGATGTGGTGTCACACTGTTAACAGGCCATTGGGATCAGAAACTGTCCACGAATCTATGTACTCAGACACATTTGACGGACCATTGGGGTCAGACGCACAGATGTTGCCATATACTGTTAACGCACCGATGTTGCCAGATACTGCTAACGCACCGATGTTGCTAGACGCTGTTAACGCACCGCTGGGGTCGAACATTAGGGAGGAAACGATGTGGCCAGACACAAGTAATGAAGCGGGAGGTAGAATGGTGATCTCCGCAAGCTGATCACGGTAGATTTTTATAGTTTATAGATAAACGGAAGAACTGAATATGAAAAAGCACAAGCAATGAAGCAAGAATTACATGGAGAATGATGCTCTCCGCAAGGTCATCATGATGGATTTTTTTGTTATGTAGATAAAAGAAAGAACTGACTTAAATGTATATACATTTGTGTTGGTGTAAGGAAAACACACAGTATATGCCTACACACTGAGAAGTCGGTTCCCATCAGTTACAAATAATCAATAAACGTAACAGCTATTTTTGCTTATTAATTAGGATTTAGATAAAATATGTTTAGTTGCTTTTTTCGTGTGTTTGACAGATTCTAAGATAATGATGAACTGGTATGAGGAGCATTTTTCCCTTAACACTTAACAGCTTATTATGACAGTGAAAGGTCACATTGTTGTAATATGAACGATGAATGGTTTCGGCAGCCAGCAATCAATGCAACTAATCACCCCCCACACACACACACACACACAAGAAAAAAAAAAAAAAAAAAAAAAAAAACAGAATTCCCCAAAAATTATACGAAATGCATACGTGTGTATTGTAATCCCAATAACGTAGGTAAATGTGGTATTCATAACTTCATGGGCAATATGTTTATTTATAAACGAGTGTTTATGTGTCAAATGCAAGTCGTATTTGTACAAACATTTCTAAAACAATCTAATATTTGGTGCTTTTGGTAGTCTAGTTTAAATTTTACAGACACTGTAATTTTAATGGAAAATTGTTTTAACAGCATTGTTTGAATAAACGCCTAAACTAAACGAAAATATTTTACTTTGTTTTTTAAATGACATTAAAATGGCAAATAGTCTAAATTAAGTTATATGATTTCTAAGATTTATAAGCTGCCATATTCACAAATGAAGTCACGGTCTACATGTATTATTATACAAAACTCAGCACCGTCACCGTGCCTTCTCTGGTAGTGTACAGTGTTGCGGATGGAGAAAGAAGAAAGTTTATTGATTAAAGGGATAACATCCGTTCATTTTGGCGGGAAGAATGGATTTTCACTGGATAAGTGGCAAATTTCCCATACTGACCAATGGTTAATAAATCCGTTCTGACATACGTAGTTAGTCCACGTTTTTTTAAGTTTGGTTTTTTGTGATTATATTTAAAGATGGTATTTTGGGTGGAGGGTGTTGTGATCAATGACGGTCCACTAGCTATCTCGCAATAAACGGATATTAGACGTCACCGCCATTTTGGTGGTATAATGCAACTTGTTACATTTTCATATGTTGTTTACAATGTATTTATTGGGGAATTTTGAATCTCCTACCAATAGCTATTATCCCTTTAATTACTTAATATTGATTGATTAATTTCATGCTTTTTTCTTGTTTCTTTCCTCAAAGACTGTACATATTTTTGTTCCTTTTTGCTATTTATTTTTGCTTTACTTCAATATATGGAGACTTGTTAGTTAGAAGCTGGCCAAAGGGGAAAATGGTACCTTTTAGTACTTTCAGTCCAAGAAGGCCTTCAGATTTCTTTCTGCTTCAGATTACCCATAATTTTAAAAGTTAAAACTATTTATTTGAGATAAATGACTTTCAAGTTCAATTTAGGGACCAAATTCAGCACATTGTTATTCACAGGCATCAATTTACATGTTACAATTACTATGCTTACCAGGGATCTACACACACTGGACAAAAGAAGTGTCACCCCCTACCTCAGAGTAATAAAAGTAGGCAGATCTTGGGTACTTATAATGCCTGGTCTACTTATAATGTGACTAATGAGTATAAAACCGCTATACCATGGAATTGTATTGTTGGTCTTGTACATGTACAGCAAATGTTATTCCTGTCTTCCTCCAATATGGCAAGATACAGGCAATTATCTAACGGTTATAGGTGCAAGTTATTAACCTGAAGAGGCGGAATATAAGCAATGTCAGAATATCGATACAATTGAATTGTTCAGTCAGAACCGTGCAGAAGGTCTGGTCTCGGTATAGAAACACTGGATCAAGAGACAAATTGCCTCTGATGGGTCGTCCAAGAAAAAAATACTGGCCGTGAAGACCGACGACTGATTTTGATGTCCAGGTTGTCAAAGTTCGACACTGCTTGTCAGTTGACAACACAGTGGAACAATTTCACACATAAGAATGTGTCTGTGAAAATTGCTAGGCGTCGGTTACATGCTCTGAGAGTGTACAGCAGGGTAGCAAGACTGAAACCTCTTATTTCGTTAAAAAACAGGCAACGTAGAGTAAACTAGGGTCAACAGGATATGGAACTGGACAGTTCATGACAATTGGTCCTATATATTTTTTTCTGATGAGTGTCGCTTTGGTCTGACCTCTGTCTGACCGGGTACTATGCTTGCAAACTGCTGGTAAAGCATTTGAACCACATGCACTGAATTTTCGAACCCGGAGCAGCATATTCATCATGGTGTGGGACTGCATCAGCATCCATGGCTTGGGCGAATTGATAGTGGTTAATGGAAACATGAATCACTAGAAATATATCGATGTTTTGGAGTCAGGCTTGCTACCATCTATTACTAACATGTTTGGTGACAGGAATTATCCATTTGTTCACCAGGATGACAATGCTCCTTGTCACAGGCCCAGAGCAGTTGATGATTGGTTTGACCAACAGGACATTCGCAGGGTGATGTGGCCTGCCCAGAGTCCGGATGCAAACATAATAGAAAATGTGTGGAATGATATGTCAAAACTTTTTACAAATGCCCGTCTAACCAGCAGAGAAACTCTGTTATATTCAGTGTTTCATGCTTGGGCCAGCATAAGCCCTGAACGCATCAGACAATTATATGAAACCTTGCTCTGTAGACTGGCACCTATTGTTGGGTCACGTGGCTATGCCACTAAGTACTAATTTTGGACTTGAAACTGCATATTTCGGTAGAATGTATATTTTGTTCTCATTTTGTGATTTTTTGTGAAATTTGATGTTAATAAAATGATACCAGGAGCATATCATTCCACAGTCATTTATCTCCCCCATAGTATTGGCTCAGTAGGGGTGACACTTCTTTTGTCCAGTGTGTGTACTATTTCTTATGCTGCTCAAAAGGCAGCAACGATGAACCCGGGAAATATTGCTTGGCATGCTACGCTTTTTGGGGAATTTTCGCAGGGGTTCATATTCAAATGACAAATCTTACTCTTATGGCATTTCACCTATTACCCCAAGGCGATTATCCTTTGGCGTTTCAATGGAGCATTTCAGTACTGATGACGGTAGCATTAGGTTCCGCATATATGGATTGTTTTCTTACATTCTGCGGTTGTTGTTGTTGGCGTTGCTACTGTGAGGGATCTACAGGTATGAATAGCATATCCATTATTTATCTGGAATTTGGTTTTCTTCGCCATGAACCTAGTAAAAACTATTCTCCCATTAACAAACCCTAAAGATAGCTACATAATGGTCGTTGCACTTGGAGGTGGCTTTATATTATTTTGGATAGCTATAATATGCTCATTAATTATTTTTGTATGTTGCGATTTAAAGGAGTACATAACATCGGTAGGACCTATAGTTAAAGTTGACTCTTTAAATAAAGTACACCCATCGACAGCGGCATACACATGTGATGAAGCGAGAATGTCAAACACAAGAAACGTACCGATGTTGTCCAACACAGTGGGACCAGAAACTGTTAACAGACCGATGTGGTCAGAAACTGTTAACAGACCGATGTGGTCAGAAACTGTAAACAGACCGATGTGGTCAGAAACTGTAAACAGACCGATGTGGTCAGAAACTGCTAACGGACCGATGTGGTCAGAAACTGTTAACGGACCGATTTGGTCAGAAACTGCTAACGGACCGATGTGGTCAGAAACTGTTAACGGACCGATGTGGTCAGAAACTGCTAACGGACAGAGATGGTGTCACACTCTTAACAGGCCATTGGGTTCAGAAACTGTTCACGAATCGATGTACTCAGACACATTTGACGGACCAATGGGGTCAGGCGCACGGATGTTGCCATATACTGTTAACACACCGATGTTGCCGTATACTGTTAACACACCGATGTTGCCGTATACTGTTAACGCACCGGTAGGGTCGAACATTAGGGAGGAAACGATGTGGCCAGACACAAGTAATGAAGGGAGAGGTAGAATGGTGATATCCGCAAGCTGATCACAATAGATTTTTATAGTTTATAGATAAACGGAAGAACTGATTATAAAAAAGCACAAGCAATGAAGCAAGAATTACATGGAGAATGATGCTCTCAGCAAGGTCATCATGATGGATTTTTATGTTATATAGATAAAAGAAAGAACTGACTTAAATGTATATACATTTGTTTTGGTGTAAGGAAAACACACAGTATATGCCTACACACTGAGAAGTCGGTTCCCATCAGTTACAAATAATCAATAAACGTAACAGCTATTTTTGCTTATTAATTAGGATTTAGAAAAAATATGTTTAGTTGCCTTTTTCGTGTGTTTGACAGATTCTACGATAATGATGAACTTATTTGAGGAGCATTTTTCCCTTAACACTTAACAGCTTATTATGACAGTGAAAGGCCACATTGTTGTAATATGAACGGTGAATGGTTTCGGCAGCTAGTAATCAATGCAACTAATCCCCCCCCACACACAAAAAAAAAAAAAAAAAAAAAACAAAAAAAAAAAAAAAAAAAAAAAAAAAAAAAAAAAAAAAAAAAAAAAAAAAAAAATCCCCAGTAATTATACGAAATGCAAACGTGTGTATTGTAATCCCAATAACGTTAGTAAATGTGGTATTCATAACTTCATGGGCAATATGTGTATTTATAAACGAGTGTTTATGTGTGAAATGCAAGTCGTATTTGTACAAACATTTCTAAAACAATCTAATATTTGGTGCTTTTGGTAGTCTAGTATAAATTTTACAGACACTGTTATTTTAATGGAAAATTGTTTTAACAGCATTGTTTGAATAAACGCCTAAACTAAACGAAAATGTTTTACTTTGTTTTTTAAATGACATTAAAATGGAAAATAGTCTAAATTAAGTTATATGATTTCTAAGATTTATTAGCTGCCATATTCACAAATGAAGTCACGGTCTACATGTATTATTATACAAAACTCAGTACCGTCACCGTGCCTTCTCTGGTAGTGTACAGTGTTGCGGATGGAGAAAGAAGAAAGTTTATTGATTAAAGGGATAACATCCGTTCATTTTGGCAGGAAGAATGGATTTTTACTGGATAAGTGGCAAATTTCCCATACTGACCAAAAGTTAATAAATCCGTTCTGACATACGTAGTTAGTCCACGTTTTTTTAAGTTTGGTTTTTTGTGATTATATTTTAAGATGGTATTTTGGGTGGAGGGTGTTGTGATCAATGACGGTCCACTAGCTATCTCGCAATAAACGGATATTAGACGTCACCGCCATTTTGGTGGTATAATGCAACTTGTTACATTTTCATATGTTGTTTACAATGTATTTATTGAGGAATTTTTAATCTCCTACCAATAGCTATTATCCCTTTAATTTCTTAATATTGATTGATTAATTTCATGCTTTTTTCCTGTTTCTTTCCTCAAAGACTGTACACATTTTTGTTCCTTTTTGCTAATTATTTTTGCTTTACTTCAATATATGGAGACGTGTTAGTTACAAGCTGGCCAAAGGAGAAAATGGTACTTTTTTTAGTACTTTCAGTCCAAGAAGGCCTTCAGATTTCTTTCTGCTTCAGATTACCCATAATTTTAAAAGTTCAATTTAGGGACCAAATTCAGCACATTGTTATTCACAGGCATCAATTTACATGTTACAATTACTATGCTTACCAGGGATCTATAACACAGATTAACAGGCAGACGTCAAGATTAGAATTTTCGCTTCTTGCATAGGAAATCAAAAGCCAGTGAAGATAAAATATTTGCGAAAAAAACCCGCCAATTTACACCTAGATTTTGTAGTCTTCTCTATATGAATTTGATTAAGGATGGCTGGCTATAGTTGATATTGCATACCCTACCCCAGCAAACACAGAACGATATTATAGCGTTACCATAACGTTTTTTTCTTCTTTGGGTTATATTAGCATTATGTTAAAGTTATAAAGACGTTCAGTGTTTGCTGAGATATCACTGTTGTGTTAAAGGTCAGTGCACTTGTTCAAACAGCATTTTAATCAATAAAATTAAACGTACGTAGATAGGATGAACGTCTTGTTTACACATGCTATCGTTTCCTCATGATAAAAAGCAGCAGCGATTGCGCGACACTCATTTTCAAATACCAGTGACGTTGCAGGAGACATCTACACGAACCTGCTTCTGTCTTGAGGTTCTACTTGATAGTGTTGCGTATTTCTGAGCTCAGGTTTTGATTTTGTTGAGCCCAAAGAAGCTAAAATGTCAGAGGAGGTGGTAGCTGTAGTTGCTCCGGCTGCTTGTTGTTGCTTCGGATGCGTTACCCAGTCTCTCATGGGACCATGGCGGCTGACCGTGTTCGTTGTCGTCTTGATCGTGAAGTTCTGTGATTTGGGATTCAATATTCTACTCATGGTTGACACTTTGGATGAGTTAAAGGCCATAGATACATATATGTTGGCAAACGATACAAATAATGGAACTATTGACTGGAACAGGACTCGGAACATAGAGTGGAACAAGACGTTGAGTTCAAACTGGGACAACACTTTGGAAACGAACGCGACTTGGAACAGAAACTATGAGATCACTTTGGGAACGAACGCGACTCTGACCACAAACTGGACCACAGACTGGAACACGATTGATATTGAGACATTCTGCAATTTTGACACTGATTTCGATATATCCGAGAAAGTTGACCTTTTCAAGACACTGTTCACGACATTCCAGGTTTACGTCGGAGTGGCAGGGTTTATCATAGTCTTTTATATAACGACTTGGTGTATAATATACCAAAAATGTAAGGGTGAAGAGAATCAAGGTGGTGTGTGGAAAGCAATAGGCAAATTCCAGGTCTACCTTGCACTGTCCTACGACATTCCCATGAACACAATGGCCATAGAAATGCAGTGGTTGAAAGGCGGAACAGACGGTATTGAGTGAGTCCAAATTACTTTTTGGTCTAAAGCACATGTTCTATGATAACAATAAACAACTGAGAGAAACTTAAGTGCATGCCGCCGTTAAAATTGATTGTTTTTGCAAAGTTTACTTATTCATTTTCGATTTTAACTTGACTGAAATTGTTCTTTGAAAATCTTTCAAGAGTTTGTAAGCTTTCACTCGCGGAGGTGATGGCACTTAAACTTACACGCCACATGCATGTTTATCATAAATTATACAGATGGTGCTAAAGCTTTCTCTTTAACAACGTTTCATTCCATTATTTTTCCTCAACACAATTAAGAGACAGATTTCCTTTTTTTTTCAGCTGCTGGTTGTGCTCCAAAATATCAACTTGTTCGGACATGGAGCCGTTACGCCTTGAAAGTCCGTTGAGGATCTTTTCAGACAATCAGCAAGAAAGAACGGCGGCAGAATTGTGGTTAACCCTCGGACTGTCGTCGGTGTCCGCATTTGTAGACATGATCTCTGTAGCAAGCCCCTATTTTTTAAGTACATCTTTCTGTTATTTCATGTGTTGCGCAAGGTCAATAGACGACCCACCCGGGAAAGGCTGTCTCGCATGGTACGTTTTTACGGGCATTTTCGCAGGGATTCATGTTCAAATGACAAATTTAACTCTTTTGTATTTCCACCTATTACCCCAGGGTGATTTTCCGTGGGTGTTTGGGGCTTCAATCATGCTAATGATATATGTGGCGTATGGCTCCATAATAGGGGACATTATTTTAACAATTTGTGGGTCTAGTTTTTGGTGTATCTTCGGCGATATGTTACCTACGGTTTTTTCAAAAAGATTAGCATACCATACTTTTTTCTTGAGTATGCTCACCTTAGGCTTTGAGTTGTTAAAAATGATCCTCCCCTTAAGACATCCAAAGAACAGTTACATAATGATCATGGTAGTTGGGGGTATAATTTTGACTACGTGGACGCTTGCGTTATTTGCTGCACTTACTGCTATGTGTTGCGATTCTAAGGGTTGCATGACAGTGTTCAATCTACTTACTAACCAAAATTCTTCTAATAAAGTGAACCCATCCACGGTACCAGGCGCAAAGTTCGAAGCGAGATAGTCAAGCAGATGTGATTTGCAATTTTTTTCTAGGGCTTATCATGAATGGTTTTAGTTTGTAAGTACAGAAGGTTAATGTACGAACTAGAGCTAAAAAGGCTAGAAATAATTACATGCCTGTTTTGGATGAAAAGAAGTTGTGCAAAAATCGACCTTAAGTAGCCCCCCTTACACAGAGCCGCAACCTCCGTGGTTCTCTTGAACAGCATGGTTACCAAAACCAGAAAACGGCATCTCTTTGTACTTGCTTTAAAAATATGTTCCAGTGCTTTTTTGGACGTTCAAATTTGGACTTTGGCAGTTTGAGTGACATATCCACATTAGCACCCGGACCCTTATGTATATTTTTAGAAATATATTTATTCTTTCATTTGTTCAGTTGAACCCGTATGTCTTTCACACTGATATATTAGAATGAAATTAAGATGATCAATTTATATCTTATTATATCTAAGCTATTTTAGTGAGATGCCATTTTGATGATGCTACAGGGGTTGCTGGGTTGCTTTTTTTCATATAATATCTTTTTATTATAATTTTATTCATAAAATATTGTAGGTGGAATAAACTATTGTCTAGCCTGTTTTTCATACGTAGACGTTCCATCAGCTCTCTCCTCCTTTGCAGGGCGATAGACGCCCGTTCTGTTCACAGCACGCATACCCAGTTTTCCTTGAAGAAAACAAGACGAAAACGTGTATTTAACATTGCATATTATTATCCAGTTTTGTTTAGGTTATTTGTAATATGGTTAGATAGAATTTTCATAGATTTAAGATTTCAGGGGCTATTCCGACAAACACAACAGCTTAACGTTTTCTACTTTTAAATGACATGTTCCAGCCAATTGTTACCTGGGCCCTACACATTTCATTTGTAGTTTATAATTGTTTTCTTCCTGATAAAATGATAATCCTACAGCACCATTCAGGTAATGTGATGATTACCTGAGGCATCAAATAAAATGTAAGATTTTTCCCCACATATTGCCCAGGAATTATACGAAGTGCAAAACTGTGTATTGCAAGTCTGTTACCTTTAATAAGTGTGGTATTTATGACCGCATGGGGCATAATGTGTAACATAGTATTGGCAGACAATTTCCTATACACTTTTAGTTATGGTGGTTCTGGTGGTTTATTATATTTTAAACATTGTAAGTCATTGCTGATACTGTGAATTTAATGGTAAAAGGTTTTAACAGTAATCAGCAAATAAAATCAATCTATCCAAAACCACTTGCAAGTTTTCCCTTTAAAATGTCACTGAAAAGGCGTACACCCTCAACTGAAGGGTGCCACATGCCAAAATCCCTTATTCGACCAGTACCTAGGAATATTACCTCATCCTTCTTAAAGTCAAATTGGTCATTCCCAGTCTTTATACTATATTTCTTTCAGGTGGGCTCCATATTAGCAAATAATGAAAATGTTAAACTCTTTCCACGGCATGATTCACATGAATAGCTAGGCGACGATAAGCAAATCGTTCTCCTTGTACTAACATTACCCGCAGACCACACTAAATGGCATAATAATAATAATAAAAAGACAGCTTTATCAAAATGTTTTTATTTTAATTCGTTTTTGATCTTTATAATTTTGTTGTTCACAGCGCCCAGCGCCAACCGTTTGACTAAGTTATACATGTATTACACCTGTATGTCAGTATATACAACACTCTCATAGATTATTTCGTACTACTGTAGCAGATTTTAACATTTCTAAGAAAATATTGTATCATAAATACGTATAATTCAGAGCAAAATGCGTAATTAAATCATCTTTTATAATGCACAGTCTTTTAAATTTTATGTTAATTACTGCTTCAAACTGTCTTATAAGTCTTATAAGCCTTGGTCCTTTAGTTTATAATTTTTAGTTAATTTTAAAATACCTTATGATTTTATTATTTAAGACACATTGTAAAACTTCAACCTTTAGGTTGCGATTTTAGCAAATAAATTATTATTATTATATTTAAAAAAATAAAGCATACTAAATAAATATTGAATTGACGTTAGCTAGGAATCAGATGCGCCACCTATAATTCATAACTAAGATCCATTGTTCTAAGATATTGTATGCATGTTAAATAATCATTCCGATCCATTAACAGTGGTAAATTTTGAATTTTCTTTAAAATACATTTGAACAATCTTGCCGCGTAGTTTTTTCAAGTGCGCCTTGAAATATTCAGAGCCACATAGCAACTGCTGTGCAGCTGGCGTATATAATGCATGCATTCATGTACATGGGCATATGTATATGTACTCGTATGTCAGCTAAGCTGAGAATTACCCTTTAATGTTCAACATTTAACCCCTTTAAAACTTTGAAGCACTTCGAGCTTGAAAGCACGCGAAGAAATTTAAAAATGGCTCAACAGTGATTTTTTTTTTGCTCTGATGGTATGTTATCCACAGTTAATATGTAATGATATTCATGCAATGTATTTGCATCAGAAAAGATGATACGAGTGCGTGTAATTGTTCACCAGTTATTGACGAAGAAGTGTTTCCATCACATGAAAGTAAATGACAGTTTTTCAGCATAAAAAAACCAAATGCACCGCGTGCAATAATCTTTAAAGGACTTGAAAGGATACTCTTAATCTACGTAGACGTCTACATCTTAACTGTATACACTACTGAGTATATTCCATCTCTATGTCATGAAGGGCCAAATTATTTACTGCAGCGACATCTTTCACGATATCTTTCGCTCTGGGACGGTTGTCACTTTTGGCATCCCAGCATCTCCGCATGAGAGAAAGCCACTTGGCTACAGGCCGCAGATGCCCGTTGCAATCGGGTCTCCAGCCCCGTTCAACCACGGCAACCCTAAATCTTTCCTCGTTAAAGGTATCACCGCCGCCTGTGTAATACACTCGCCTGCCATACCAGAGCTCCCAGAGCAAGAGTCCGAAGCTGTAGATGTCACAACTCTTGTCATATCTCACGCAGCCACTGCCACCAGACCACAATTCTGGTGCCCAGTAGAGGACAGTACCTGTCTTTCCTGTACGCAAGACGGTCTCTCTCTTTGCTTCACCAACGTCGCAGATTTTTACAACTTTCCTGTTGTTAGTCTCCGTGATCTGTAAACAATAAGTTTTTTTAGCGAATAGTAATAATTATTGTTTTAAATCGAACACACACAATTATTTAAACTTCTTTAGATGAACAAAAGAACATTGTAACTTTTATACCTGTTTTTAAATTTTGTATTTTTGTTGTTGTTGTTGTTTTTTCATCATATTCATGAAGAAGCATGCACTAGTCAAACTAACATAAACTCAACAGAGCAACAAGTGTACAATAATCAATAAACATGTAAAGAGTTAGTATGTACGACTTCAATCTTAAAAAAAAACACATGTTATGAATCGTACCAAAAAGTTTTCAGCTTTGATATCTCGATGGGCAAGTCCAACATCATGTAAGTATCGGATAGCGGTAGCTGCCTGTATGGCGTAATCCGCCGCGTACCGGATGCCGGCTAAACGTTCCTCATTGCCCACACCTTCAAATGTAATGGTCACAAAATAAGTAATTTTTTTAATGTTTATAAGCTAGGACAAATAAAGCTGTTTTGAGTTATTGAATAATACTTGGTTAACAAAGATGTAATGTTTTGAAATCAAAATAAAGTCAAAGATCAATTTTAATTATCCGTTATGCAGATAAAAGGAAAACATGTAGGCATTGTTTTTTTAAATAGCCAGAACCAATCAAGTTTCACGTTATTCATTACCAACTTAAAAGCTTTAACTGTTAGGAATATAATAAAAAACGATAAAACCTTGCATAGTCCCTGGAAGCAAATTGGAATCGTTAGTGATGACGTCACGTAGTGATCCCTGGTTACACCATTCCATGACCAGGATTAAATAGTAGAGGTCACCGGTGATGTATTTGGCCGAACCATAATACTGGACAAAGTTTGGACATCCAGCTCTGGTCAGCTGTCTAAAGTAATAATTGCATGGCTGATTATTGTCTTTTCAATAAATTAACTACAAAAGCAATGTCGTTCTAAATACATGTAATGCCAAGTTCATAAGACCTGTTTAAACTGCAGGAGATCAGTTGTCAAAAGAAAAGTAGGCCTTTATGGGAATTTTAAGACATGCATAATGCTTTGCAGTCAAGTATTTTACGCAGGTTGCTGAATGCACCGTTAAACTGAAAATTAAAATGCGTGTACATGTACTTCTCTCTCAAATTGATTATTTTTGACAAATTTAATGTAGGACGTTCACAGGTATAGTCTTCACGGAAAGACTGAATATACACTACCTCATTCTTTCGCATTCTTCATAAATGTCAAGATCATTTGGCAGACGACCATCGACGCCCAGCGCCTCCTTCACCACTTTGATCACCACGGGGTAGGTGGTGTTGTCGGGTTGTAGGATATCGGCTCGGTAAACCTTCCTATACCCTCCGTCAGATACCGGGTTAGTGGTGTACAGTAAATTTGGCCAGTCAGCAATGTCAGTAGCTTGAAACTCATGTTGCCACACCTGGCCTATATAGAAAGTCTGAATCTGGCGACTTAAACTTTCCAGCCTCGTTCGCTCTTCTTGCAATTTGGCGGTGCTTTCGGTGAAAGTTTCGTCCTGCTTGAGACGACGTAAAATTTCAAGGTTCCCATCTATCCACTGCAGGATTGGTTGGTAGGTGATGTTGATTTCCTTCCGACAGCCCTGCAGGACGTGACGGGAAAGGCGGTCCAGAAGAGTGGATTGATTGGTTTTTACCCTTTCTACGTAGTTGTCCAAACATTTGGCCATGTATTCCTGCATATTGGGGTCGGGCTGTGGTTGATGAAGCGACAAACTCTGGAGGGATGGTGTGAATGGCGTCTCGGGTATACTCTCTTCAAACAAGTCTGCAATGTCACTGGGGTCAACAAACATGGTTCGCTTGGGGCAAGGATCGTTGAGAAGGTAACTTTCTATTTTCTGCAATTTATCTACGAAGCGCACCGATTCTTGTTTCAAAGATTGGTGGAAATCTTCCTTGAGGTTCTCGATCTTTTCGCAATATCTTTCGTTGTTGGCTGGGTGCAGATATTCCAACAGTCGTATCTGTAACTTGGCATTGATTTCCTGTTTTACAGTATCCCACGTACGCCCTGGTCCCGGGGGGAGAGGACACGCTGCCTCAGACCACACATTTAAGGCATGTGCTTCCTCCGTGTCTGCTTCTAAAGCACCGCGGAATTCAGCAACCAAAATCGACTGTAGCTGTTTCAAAGCCCCTTCTTTAATTTTTTGTGACTTATTAACCTCTTCTTGTAGGTTTTGAAAACTTTTGCTTATTTCGTGTATCCTGCGTGAACGCACATCAGGTTCGTTGTAAAGTCTCTTCATATTAATCCCAACAGAACATACATATATGCCGTCATCAAGAACATGTTTTAACCACCTAAAAAGTAGCATTACACTTTTGAAAGTTTTGAGATAATTATATAAACGTGATACACACTGTATAAGTAAGGAAATATAAAACAAATATACAAAATAAAGCATGATTTTGAAGATGTTTTGGCCATTGTTCATCAGTTTGGACAATGTGACTCTAAAGAATGGGCTGGTAGGGCTTTAGTCGGCTGAGCCGTTGTCTTGATCATATTATATATTATATTCTTAAGCTATATCAAGCCTGATTAATGCCACCCTTAGAGGCTGCCATAATTGAGGCATGTGCTAAAAAACATTTAATATAAAAATAAGGCCTATTTAAGACAATTGTCACGCCAATAGCAAATTTCTGAAAAAGGGAAATATATTTATCAAAGAATGCTATGATTTAATCTAATAGTTTTACATTTTATTTCTTTTTCTAGCACTTTCACTTAATTGAAACTTACTGGCAGTAGTGTTCTATTTGGAAGAGAACAGCGTTTGGAAGAAGGTCAGCAATTGATTTAACGACATCCATGAATATTTCGTGTTGTTCCCCCCGTCCGTGAGCTTCTTTCACCTATATGATATAAACAAAATATAGCATTGTTAAGTCTAGTTATGTAGTAAAATCATAGAACAGGAAAGGAGGAGGAAGATAAGTCTTGAACAACTTGTCAGAAAAGAAAAGGAGAAAGTAGTTTCAAAATACCAGAGCAAATTTATTGATACAGTTTCGTAAACACCCAAATCCCTTGCATAATTGGTGGTTCAGTGGTATATGCAGTATAGATCAGTGTTAAGTCTAAATATAGGTCGTTTGCTGACGTAACAAGGTCAAGGTCGCAAAGAAAAGTATGGCTGCCACAAGACCACAAAGTTATGTATGTACAAGTCTAAACTAGTCTAAACGTATTCAAAAGTATTTATAAGGTGTTTTGGACAATACCACGGACAATCAAAGGCATTCATAAAGTGTTTTGGACATTACAACAGATGATAAAAGGTATTCATAAAGTGTTTTGGACATTACAGCAGATGATCAAAGCTATTCATAAGGGATTCTGTCAAGATACTGGACATTACAGACGGATAGAAAGGAACGGATAGAAGTTAGTAAATGAAAGATAACGACGATACATGTACTATTCAGTTCTGTGATTGATGATCTTGATAAGACTTTTAATATATGTAAACAGGAAACATTTTTATGTTGCGGAATAGAACCATAAAATAGAAGATAGTGCAAGGCGGTTTATGTTTTGATACGCGGACTTGATCTAATGCATGGACGACAAAGTGTCAAAGTTTAATAAAAGATATTGGACATTACAAAGGTGTTTTGTGTCAAGATATTGGACATTACAAGCATTCCGTGTCTATGCAATGATCAGTTGAATGTTCTTATTGATATCAAGTGTACCACACAGAAAGTTATGACTGCTTTGTTTGATCTACACAAATTCAAAATTGATCGGTTGGCAAAAAAGAAAAAGTTACCAATGCATGCACTTGATTGAACTCAAACTGAGAAATTTATTATTATCGTTTCTGTGGGTTCTTGTTTTCCTATCTATTCTCTGCTGCCAATTATAATCATACCTGTTTCATTGAAACATGAAATACACGGCTTGCTTGTAAACCTGGCCAAGAATCTTGTAACCTCTCAAAGGTGTCCTTAGAAACGGTGTCCTCTTCTGCCTCCGGGACGACGTCCCATTTGTTGCAGATAAATATAGCTGATTTTGGATTGAACAGCCGAGCGCGGTTGTGAACCCCCATACCTGACACCTTACGCATGAGCTTGGCCAGCTGAAAGACAAGTGCACCGTACATACAAACTATGATTTATTTCATTAAAGTTGATATAAGTGTATAGACGTAATGAAACAATGGAACAAAATAATTCTCAGTTCCATGAAAAGGTTTCACAGTGAGTGATCTCTGCTTTAGACCATATTACACTTCGTGAATTAGACCCCATTCCCAGAGATTAGATCGATAAAACTAAATCGACCTAACTCCCTGGGGGTTCACGCTAAATAGATGTCAGCCGAGCGGGCACGAAAGGTATATACCCCCTTACAGCTTGTAGTAGGCGGGACGGCCATTTAAGCCTGATCATCTGACAGTAATTTAGTGAGACTCCCCACAGGAATAGATTGATCTAAAATCTATGGGAATGCGCCTTTAAACTTGCAATTATTTTCCTGGTCCATATGTATTTACTAGGGATGAAAAGGGGATCGTTAGAGGCAGACTGACACGAGTTCAACTTATAAAATAAAACGGCACACGTATTCGCAGTGTAAAATGTAGTTATTAGTAATACGTAAATTAAAGAATGAAAATCAGATATGAGATTTGCGAAACTCCAAATATGGAAATATACACCACACTGTAGCACAATGTGCTTGGCCAACCGAAGTGACTAACATAAAATATTTGTTTATTATTTAAAATTTATTAACCATACGTACTCCCTTCTTAGCCACGCCGTGCGGAATAGCCATGTTGACAACGTAAATGAAAGCGAAACAGCCGAGAGTGTATTCAGCAAGCCTGTGAAATGTCTTCACATCTTCAGCGACTTGAAAACCAGGGCTGTCAACGAAGGCGACGGCGACCAGTTCCCCTTTCTAAAATGTAGGTTCAAGAGTGCTATGATCTATGGCATTTACTTATTTAGACAGAACAGAGATCATGGCAAGTTTTGTGATGTAAAAACACAGGCCTAATATTTTTAAGGAGATCACATTTTTTTTTACCTCCATAACCGGTTAGTTCAAACCAAAGAACTTTACATAACATTAAGGAAAGTAAACTGGTAAACAAAATAATTATATATCTTACATGTAAATATACTGACCGCCAATAAAATTGATCCTTGGAGACATTCCAATCTAATTCCTTATCAAAGTTACAATTACCCGTTTAACAAATATCCCTGTTAACAGACGGTTTTTTGACTGTATAATGTTACCATGACAAACACAGCCAAATGAAGTCACAAAATGTTTTTTCATATTTTGGCGTCAACAACAAATTATATTGTTACCTTTTAGGGAAAAACAAATTCAATTTACAGTCAGCATCTATTAAAAAGTGATTTACCCCGTTTTCATCGTTTTCATCTGTTGCCTCATCATGTTGAGGTTGGTTTTCACGGGTTTTACCCTAATAATAAGAATGAAAATAGAAATAAGACATACGCACTATCTATAGGTATTCAGATTATGCAGACTGTAGTATTGCGTAGATTGCATTCAAGATAATCAACTTAATTATCTGACACGCCTCCTCGAGCAGCTAGGGGGATAGACAATTAAGCTGATTAAATTGAATGCGTTTTAATAGATGAATCGATCCATCGGGTGCTCCTTTAAAGTGGTCGGAACATGATTACAAAAAAAAGGGGGGTATTCGAACTCCAAATAACGTAAAAAAATTATTACCATAAGTATGGGTAGAGGATATTTAATTTTTGCCTTTTCAAACGGCATGAATGGCGGCTCGTTATTGATCTTTATTCCTTGCACGTAATCTTGGAACGCCGATCTGTCTTCCTCCTTGCTGAGATCTAATGTCACCGCCTGACCGCCACCCGGACGCAAGATGAACGCCGTCTTCTCGATGGGGTGGTGGCTTATTTCACAAAACATTCGCGTACTTTTCTGGTATGCTTCCGGTAAAATGTCTTCCCCCATTAAAGCATTGAGAAAACTACTTTTTCCAGCTGACAGTTCTCCTAGAAAAAATATTATGTCAATTAAAATTTTAATCCCTTTTGGTTGACAATTCAACTGCTTGGCAATGAAAATACAACTCTCACAAAATTTGATATGTATAATTAATTTGAATTGAATTTGCTGCATTTTCAGTGCATTTTTTTTTTTCAGATTCGTTTTAGGAAAATGAACTACTATATAACTACCAAACAACTGTCGTTGTCTGTCAGATTCCGTGCCAGATATACCACTAAACACTTGTACCTGCGACCAAAATTTTGAATTCGCCTTGTCGCAAGTCTCTCATCATTGTTCTGATTCGTCTTCGATACTTCGTGCGCAGACAGTTCAGATTATAGCGAGTGCTCTCTTGGAAAGTCTGAAACATTCTATCAGCTTCCACGTAGAAATTTCTACAAGAATGTACCACGTGTCTTTGGTCGTTTAACGTTCTCTGGAGATAGTTATTAGGTGCACTGATTGGTCCGGGTGGTTTCTATAGAACAAAATAGTTTATGCCATTTAACCTTTGGTTTTCAATACATTTTCTAAATAAGTTGTGTCGTAACTTTTAACAATATTTTTTGCTATTCAAATAAATTAGGTAAGCAGTTGGTTTATTAATGAATGGATGTTTTCACATGAAAGTGTATGTTATTCAAATATTATGAGAGCCGAGATAAATGGATGGGTGAAAACCCGCTGTAGTCGCATTGCCTAACATCTTGAAGGCTTAATGAAAATATAAAGTATTAATCGGTGAATTTCCAAACTAATTCAGCGATATTGATCAAAATCACCACAAGATATAAGTTTGATAAACAATAAAAATTAAAGAGCTATAATTTGGGGGAATTCTGCAAATGTACCTTAAAAGAAAAATATTACGGCAGAAGTACGATTTGGGTATGATAATAAAATTTGATGAGACACGAGCAAGAAATTGGAATTGGGATCATAATATAAAGGGTTTTTAATTGAATATGAATGGGAACATTGGTATAAGACGAAAAAGAGAGAGAGGGGATGGAAAGGGCTAATGGATGTTCCTACACTACCATGTTGTTTTGTACTGTCATGTGGAGACATATCAACGCAGTGAAATTTACAACAAAGTTGTTTGCGTTGGCGTTTGTGTGTGTGTTTCTCGTTGAAAGTAATTATACAATAAATGGTTTATATCCCGCTGAGTACAAACGAATTAGAAGAAAACTGCAATACTAACCTGTTTTGTGGACGATTGCAACCCCATGCGATAAGCATCATCAAACTGGCTACACAGCCTCTCCCAAGTGCGGCTCAGTTTGGAATATAACAGGTAGAGCGACCAGAAAAGAACAACTACTACAAAGGCAACTACGAGACTCAGCTCCATGGCTGCCGCATGTGACATGTAGCTTGACAAGCGCCCAGCAAATTTAAAGGGGCCACTATACTAGTTGTACATATCTGCAACGATATGAAAGTAGAACATGGACCACATCAAACAAAAGGATCGCTTTGAGCAGGGGCTTGATTTTAATGTGTAACAATGTGTTATTTTCAATCAATTGTTGATGGAAGAAACTCACTCATTGTGACTTTTTTTCAGCTCGCGATATTTGCTACCGTCAGTTACAGCAGAAATGAAATTAGTGACACGTTTGATGAACATTTTTAGCACAATACCTGCTTAACCTAATTAATACTCACATTGTCTTTGAATTGGTTATTGAAATGGCCCATTTGATATTTGACTCGACAAATAAGATACCGCTTTATCATCTACTTGAGATGTGGTCAATAAGTAACTACGGTACACACATTGTACAAGTACACTGTATCAGCAAGCCGAGCATTTGAGCTGGGTCCAAGTATATGTTTATTTTATAAATCCTACCAAGAGAGATTGACTTCCGGGTTGTCTTGTCGTCTTTTAACCCTTTACTATGAATAATTCAAATACACAGATCATCGGACGTCAATGAAAAATTTATTGTGCTGAAAGACATTTTAAATTTTGAAGAAGAAAAATACTGTTTTATTGATACAATTAAGTTTTCTAAAACTTTAGATTTGTTTTGTCATCTCGACGATCACGAATAGCTGATTCTACGACAATTTTCCTAGACCCCCCCCCCAAGACGATCCCTCCAGGATAACCACCCCTCCACCCCCCACCCCCCAGTTCTCCCAGGAAAGAAAATACACTGCTTTTGAATTATCTATTTTTTGAGACATTTATACATTTCCTGAAGAATAAAGAACATAGAAAATGAAATAAAAATGAAAAATCAATGGATTGGTTATTAATTATAAGATTCAGGAAGCTCACTTACGTGCTTCAGTGGACCTGAGAGGTAAACTTTAATTATTAGATGATATAGATGTAAATTTGGAAATTTGCCATTACATTTAAATCAAACAAATACTACCGTTTTATCAATTTTTCTAAGAGCAAACAGACGTCATTTTATCTGCATTTCATTTACTATTTGTGAGTTTTTTTAGTCACAGGTTACGTAAAAATGCTAATGGAACTAGAAACAGAAAACAAATTTCGAATACCGTTGTTTTTATGTCAGGGTTAGTGGTGCAACAATTGAAACTTATGGTTAGTTCATTTCAGGGATGCATTTTTGTACCTAGATGAGTGAGATTATCTGTTTACCCCACCTAGACATATATGTTGATAAAATATCATACTTTTCATTCTCAGTATGATATGCTTACAGGAGGGGGGGTTGGAGGGGGATTGTCCGGGGGGGGGGGGGGGTACCCTAATACTCCAAAAGATGTTCGAAGTAAGGAAAACACGCTTGTAAATATAGGTATTGTCCCGCATTTCAACCAGTCGATGTTGTTCGTAAAATTCCTCATTATCTGTTCACTTGTGCTAATCTTATCTACAACCGGCAGTCCTCTTCAATATTCTTCCGGTGGAAACATTGTTTGGTGAGGCTAACGGGTACGTGTACCGGTATACAATGTATGACACGAAGTACATTTACATGTACTAGTCTTCAAAAAAGTAAATAAAAGAAATACTCCACCCGTTCAAAATAAAATGTGTAAATAATAAGGAAAACTGAAGCATGATAAGTATTTAGTGTTCTGTGGTTTTGTCTTTACAGGATCAGTGCGATAATATTGATAATGGTATCAAACTAGGTTGACGAATGACGCACATATAAAGGAATGCATGTGTATAAAATCAGAATGAAGAAAATAGTATTTTAAAGTTGATTTAATTAAATTTTCCCTCCTGATATATTTTGGCACATCAGAATTATTAAATTTAACCGCGTCTCGACATCCAACGGTTCACTTTTGGAAGTGTTGGGTCCCTATCCCTCGATGGGTTTTATTAGTCTGTATTGCATCGTTTTGACTACGGATTCTAACATACACTGTTGTGCTACAGGGACAGAGAGGAAGTGCTCCTTGTCACAGATTCACTGCTTAGTCCGATCAAAGTGAATCCTGTTTACGGGTCGCCCCAGATAAATAGATGTCTTTCGTATGCAATACCCTGGTTATTAAGCCGTCAATCTTTCAAAACGTTGCGACACATATACGTATCTTGCACTGAATCTTAATATAATTACGCAGGGACCGTGGTGACATGTCCGTTTAATGTGAGGTGATAATTTTTCCTTTTCACGCTCTTTAAAATAAATAACAACCTGCATTTCAAACAATAAAATTCCTACCTTTTTGGTCTTGTATTAAAAGGTTCCTTTCTATCTACCGCTACAGCGTGATACTGTTATTGTGTATTGGACTCAAATACATTGTTCCGAGAAAGTCTCGTTCAAACGCTTATAAGTTAGTCGCACAGATAGCGATAAGCAAATCGCGTGATCGGCGAGTCATTCTTGATAAAGTTTTACTGCAAATATCAGTGGGAAACTTCGGTGCTCAGTTAGATTATAAATAAAGTCTATCACCTTAATGGCTACACAATATTCCTCACTTTTATTTGGTGAGTTTATAGGAACGTTCACTTACGGTTCTCAATCTATTCTAGATCATTTGATGTATTTTTAATCAGTTCTAATGTTGATCTGTAATAAATGTAACAGTTCGAGAACTGTTTCTGGGAAGTCACTCAGAATATCTTAGAACAGATTAAGAACATTTTTCATTAAAAGAAAAAAACCATTGTGTTCTAGGACATTGAGAACCGCAAGTTAGCGTTAAATGAGACATATTTTCACAGGGGATGTTTTATATGAGTTCTCTGACAGTGCTAGGAGTGCTCTCCCTTCCAGGCATTATAATGTATTAACCCCCAATAATTTATAATTCCAAGAATGACGAATTCCAGTGAATAGAAAGCGACAAGCAAACCTCATGATCGACGGGTCATTGTTGATAAAGTTCCACGGTTGATAACGGACAAACATGTCAGTGCACGTGTCTGTTTAGTTTCTATTTGCACCATGATAACGGGAACATAAAGTGTTACTTTATTTCTATGCTAACTTTCCCAGAACAAAAAGTCTAATTGCCGAACATTTAATTATCTCGTTTGTTTAATTGTTCTTGTTCCGCGCTCCATTTTGGCCAGGTACATGTATATCAGTAATGTCTAAAATTTAATTCTGAGGTAATCGGATTCGTTTGTTTGTTTGTTTTTTCATCTAGCATTTTTCGAATGGTTACCCAGCAAACATGTCACGTTCGTATCACGTGGCTAGGACGTTGCTACCACATTATAGCTAGGTGACAATAGGCAAATCTTGTACTAACATTACCCACAGATCATACAAATTGACATAATAATAAAAAAGACAGCTTTATTAAAATATTATTTTTTTAAATTAGTTTTTTTATTTTTATAATTTTGTTGTCCACAGTGCCCTTCGTCTGCCATTTCACTCAGTTATTGTAACGCCAGTATGTCAGTACACCTATAGTTCATAGCTAGGACCCGTTGTTATAAGATAATGTATGCATGTCCTTAATCATTCCATTAACAAGTACTTGCAAAACTGATTAATTTCGAAATTTTTTAAAGATACATTTGAACAATCTTTTAGTTTCGAGTAGTTTCGTCAAATGCGACTTGAAAATACGCAGAGCCACATATCAATTGCTGTGCAACTGGCGTATATAATGCAGGCATGTACAAGTGCATATGTATACAGGGTTACCGCTTAATATGGAATTTTTTTATCATTGTTATTTTTGAGTGCTGATTAAATATTTTTTGGGGCTTGAGTCATTAAAAAAGTATGTCACTGAGTGATAATAACATCCAGTCTTTGTTGTGAGATTTTTTGGTCAATAATATTAAATCTGACATAAGATGCCATTCAAAAGAAAGGAACACCCCCAGAAAACCATATCAACAGTTTGATGTCAGTAAAAACTAAGATAAGATATTAAAGAAAATGATAGCCTCCGGACAGTGATATGTTACACGGTCGAAGAACTCACTACAGTCAATCATGAAAAGTCAGTAATTGCGGGTATGACCTCCAGCAGCCGCTTGCAGCGCCCTCATCCTACATGGCATATCCTGTGACACGTTTTTCAGACTTTGGGTGGGGATATCATTCCACGCAGTGATATTGGCCGGTCGCAGTTCATCACTGTTTACCGGCCGAGGACCATAGCTATTAATTCTGTGAGTTACTTTCGCCCACAGATTTTCAATTGGGTTCATATCTGGAGAGTTTGCAGGCCAGGGCAGTTGCTGAACCCATTGGTTTTGAAGAAAAACAGTGATTCTGTGGCCTCGATGTGGGGTTGCGCAGTCGTCTTGGTACACAAAGTTGTTCCTGAAGATGAATCTTACCAATCGAAGCATTGTTGCTGTAGAATGTCTCTGTAGGAATCCTGGATGAGGTTGCCTCCTAGAAAAACCAACTTGTTCTGGGCACCGACATGAAATACTCTCCAAACATAGACGCTACCATCCCCTGCTTGCACCCTAGGCAGTACACAACCATTGTTTTATGCCCCTCGTGCACGTCGGTGGACACGGATTCGACGATCAACCCTAAAAAAATCCATATCTGGCCTTATCACTGAAAACAACGTGATTCCAGTGTTTTGGCTGCAAACGCACGTGGTCCCCAGCCCTTTGCAGACGTCGCTGTATATGACCTGCTGTTAACAGTGGTTTCCCTACTGGCCTTCGTGCAAACTAACCGGCTTGTAGAAATATCTTGTTCACGTGGGACCTTGAAACGGGCGTTTGAATGACATTCTGCCTCTCTTTTATGAGGACACTGGTTGTCTTTGTACGACCAGCACGGCGTCCACTAAGGAGAAGGCGATCCTGTCTTCTTGGTGTGATACGCGGACACCCTGGTCGAGGTATTGGAGTAGGTGCCCCTGTAACAGCATTTCTTTGGAGGACTTCACAAACGGTTCCTGATAAATGTTGAATTACCTGGCAATGGCTGTTCGTTTCTGGCCATTTTCTCTGAGAGCAATAATCCCATAGTAAGCTGCGTTGCTTTGCTGTCGTACCATATCTTCACTAAGGTACCTGTCAAGTTTCAGAGCGATCCCTTTGTTGCTTCTCTAAACATGCTCCAAAGATTGACCAAACCCATGTGTTTTTATACAAGGGCAGAAATTGCCGAAAAGACCACCCCTCACATTTCTGACCACAGAACATGCAACTGCATGCATCAATTGTTTCCAGAGTTGTGTGGTAATTAGGTAACACATCTGGCTACACATGGAGTGACACCTCATCTTTGGATTTAAAGTAGTTAGAGAGAAATTAAATATTTTGTAGAAAATTTATTCGCCAAAAAATAATATTCCATATTAAGTGGTAAACCTGTATGTACTCTTATGTCAGTTAAGCTGAGAATATAACCCTTTATTTTTTTTTTACATTTTTAAATGTTAAAAACCCTTTAAACATTGAAGTACTGCTATCTGCAGTTCCAGATACCGCTTTATCACATACTTCAGATGCTAGAACATTGGCACTGTTCACTGTGGTCAATAAGTAACTACGGTACACACAATGTACAAGAACACTGTATCAGCAAGCTGAGCAATTGTGCTTGGTCCATGTTTATTTTATAGATCCTACCAAGAGAGATTGACTTCCGGGTTGTCTTGTCGTCTTCTAACCCTTTACTATGAATAATTCAAATACACAGATCATCGGACGTCAATGAAACGTTTATTGTGCTGAATGACATTTTAAATTTTGAAGAAGAAAAGTACTGTTTTATTGAAACAATTAAGTTTTCTCAATTTAAATTTGTTTTGTCATCTCGATGAACACGAATAGCTGATTCTAGGACAATTTTCCTAGACCCCCCCCCCCAAAGACGATCCCTCCCGGATAATCCCCCCCCCCCCACAGACACCCCCCACCTCTCCCAGGAAAGAAAATACACTGCTTTTGAATTATCTATTTGAGAAATTTATGATTTCCTGGAGATTTTACCGAATAGAATAAAGAACACAGAAAATGAAATAAAAATAAAAAAAATCAAAAGATTTGTTATTAATTACAAGATTCGGGAAGCTCACTTACGTGCTTCAACAGACCTGAGAGGTAAACTTTGATTATTAGATGATATAGGAGCAGATTTTGCAAATTTGACATTACATGTCATCTTCAATCAAATAAATACTATCAGTTTTTCTTGAAGCAAACAAATATAATTTTATCTGCATTTCATTTACTATTTGTCAGGTTTTTTTTAGTCATAGGTTAGGTAAAAATACTGATGGAACTAGAAACAGAAAATATGTTTCGAAAGGCGTTGTTTTATGTCAGGGTTAGTGGTAAAACAATTGAAACAAATAGTTCATTTAAGGGATACATTTTTGTACCTAGATGAGTGAGATTATCTGTTTACCCCACCTCTACCTAGACATATATTTTGATAAAATATCACACTGTTCATTCTCAGTATGATATTCTTACAGGAGGGGGAGTTGGAGGGGGATTGTCCGGGGGGGGGGGTGCCCTAATACTCCAAAAGATGTTCTAAGTAACAGGCCTACCCAACTACCAGACTCGGCACCGAATGATCCTGAATTCACCGTAAATCGGACCACACTACCCGTTTTCAAGGTGTGTATCAGATCGCATTTCACAGTATCAGACGCGACGCCGCTCTTGCCTAGTACGCGATGTGATAGTGACGATTCTCAGCGGAGTTGAAAAGCATTGCATCACCACTCAAAATTTGTTCAGGGTATGATACTGTGTAATGCGATCTGACACACACCTTGAAAACGGGTAGTGTGGTCTGATCTACCGGTGAATTCAGGATCATTCGGTGCCGAGTCTGGTAGTTGGGTAGGCCTGAGTAAGGAAAACATACTTGTAGCTATAGGTATTGTCCCGCATTTCAACCAGTCGATGTTGTTCGTAAAATTCTTCATTATCTGTTCACTTGTGCTAATCTTATCTACAACCGACAGTCCTCTTCAATATTCTTCCGGAGGAGACATTGTTTGGTGAGGTTAACGGGTACGTGTACCGGTATACAATGTAAGACACGAAGTACATTTACATGTACTAGTCTTCAAAAAATAAATAAAAGAAATACTCCACCCGTACAAAATAAAATGTGTCAATAATACGGAAAAATGAAGTATGATAAGTATTTACAGTGTTTAGTGGTCTTGTCTTTATATGATCAGTGCGATATGTTGATAATGGTATCAAACTAGGTTGACGAATGACGCACATATAAAGTAATGCATGCGTATAAAATCACAATGAAGGAAATGGAATTTTAAAGTTGATTTAATTAAATATTCCCTCCTCATATATTTTGGCACATCAGAATTATTAAATTTAACCGCGTCTCGACATCCACCGTTTCACTTTTGGAAATGTTAGGTCCTTATCCATCGATGGGGTTTATTAATCTGTATTGCATCGTTTTGACCACGGATTCTTACATGCAATATCATTCTACGGGGTCAGAGAGGGAGTGCTCCTTTTCACAGATTCACTGCTTGGTCCGATCAAAGTGAATCCTGTTTACGGGTCGTGTCAATCGGGAGGTTCTCGCCCCGGATAAATAGATGCCTTTCGTATGCAATACCCTGGTTATTAAGCCGTCAATCTTTCAAAACTTTGTGATACATATACTCTGTACGTACCCTGCACAATGTGTAAAGGGCTTTAACAATACTGAATGTTAATATAATTACGCAGGGACTTTTGTCCACCGTGGTGACATGTCCGTTTAATGTGAGATGACTATTTTTCCTTTACACATTATTTAAAACAAATAACAAACTGCATTTCAAACAATAAAATTCCTACCTTTTTGGTCTTGTATTGAAAGGTACCTTTTTATCTACCGCTACAGCGTGATACTGTTATTGTGTATTGGACTCAAATACATTGTTCCGAGAAAGTCTCGTTCAAACGCTTATAAGTTAGTCGCACAGATAGCGATAAGCAAATCGCGTGATCGGCGAGTCATTCTTGATAGAGTTTTACTGCAAATATCAGTGGGAAACTTCGGTGCTCAGTTAGATTATAAATAAAGTCTATCACCTTAATGGCTACACAATATTCCTCACTTTTATTTGGTGAGTTTATAGGAACGTTCACTTACGGTTCTCAATATTCTAGATCATTTGATGTATTTTTAATCAGTTCTAATGTTGATCTGTAATAAATGTAACAGTTCGAGAACTGTTTCTGGGAAGTCACTCAGAATGCCCTAGAACAGATTAAGGCTTCGTTCACATGGAATGTCTATTTTCTAAAAATCTATTTTCTATTCGCGCTATCTTATGATCACGGTCTGTGCCCTGAATATCCCGCCGCGTAATTACTGGCAGCGCGAGCCAGTTACTTATAGTAACTTATAGTAACTGCAGGCTCGCGCTGCCAGTAATTACGCCGCGGGATATTAAGGGCACAGACCGTGATCATAAGACATACGCGAATAGAAAATAGATTTTAGAAAATAGACATTGCATGTGAATGAAGCCTAAGAACATTTTTCATTAAAAGAGAAAACCATTGTGTTCTAGGACAGATTGAGAACCGTAAGTTAGCGTTAAATGAGACAAATTTTCACAGGGGATGATCTATATGAGTTCTCTGGCAGTGCTAGGAGTGCTCTCCCCTCCGGGCATTATAATGTATTAACCCCCAATAATTTATAATTCCAAGAAGGAAACCTCATGATCGACGGGTCATTGTTGATAAAGTTCCACAGTTGATAACGGACAAAAATGTCAGTGCACGTGTCTGCTTAGTTTCTATTTGCACCTTGATAACGGGAACATTAAGTGTTACTTTATTTCTATGCTGATTTTCCCAGAACACAATGTTTAATTGTGGAACATAAAATTATCTCGTTTGTTTAATTGTTCTTGTTCCGCGCTCCATTTTGGCCAGGTATATTAGTAATGTCTAAAATTGAATTCTGAGGAAATCGGATTCGTTTGTTTGTTTTTTCATCTATCATTTTTCGAATGGTTACCCGGCAAACATGCCACGTTCGTATCACGTGGCGAGGACGTTGCTACCACATTATAACGTCATAGCCACGGATTAACCACGTGGTACCTACGTGACGTGTTTCCTGGGTACAGATGTGTTGGACAGACCTTTATCTAAGAAAAAATGTGTCCTTGTTAAAGGCAATAGAGGCTTTTGTAAAAAAAAAATTCTCTCTGATAATCCCACCGAGAAGATAGCACATTTTGATGAAATGCAGATCATACGGAGTTAGCTCTAGGTCAATTTAAGTACAAGGTCTGTTGCACCAAATCAAGGACTTTTAACTGATCATGAAGAGAAAGGAAATATTATTGACGACGCAGATTTTATTCTAATGACCAGGTTTAAAATCGAACATTTAATGTAAACTTTCTAAAGTATACCGTATTTTTATGCAAAAGGTAATTTGCTAGGACCCAGGAGAGCCCAGATTCGTTCTCGTGACATCCGGGACACGATTCAGGGGCCCGGTCGTTGTCGTGATGGACTGACGTGCCTCATCCGGGATTCGAACTCGTGACTTTGCTTTGCCATGGTTGGTGGCGCTTTGGGTATCTCATTTGCATCCAAGCACGCTACCGACTGCACCGTAACAGACCCGCCCACCCTCCGTAGTTACGAGTTTCCTCTTAAAGTAACCAATTGGAATTTTTAAAATTTAATTCTGGAAAAAAAAAGTTCTGTACTAGATGGGTCTCGAACCAGCGTACATGTATCCGTTTGTTTACGAGACAGCAAAGCTACCACGGGGCCAAGTTAGCTTCGATGAAATGTGCTGATCCGATGGAAACTTTCAACCTTGCCACGGAGAGGGCCAGGTTGGATGTACATGTGCATATCTGCTATCCCAATCGATAATCCGGGTGCCGCATTTCATCCCACGCAACCCCAGTCCCCGACCATGGTTTATCATGAACGGTAAAATTCATGATGTACAGGAAGCCATGCGCTTTTGAGAACCCGACACGGAGCTCGGAGTTTGATTTTGGCTTTACCCATGATATCAAAGAGTGCAATGGGAACGAAGGCGGTTCACAACAGGCGTGTTTTAGTTTTAGCGAGACCCTAAGAAAAGAGGGGGAAAACATTCAAATGTGTAATAACTGGTGCGATTTCCATATAAGCAATTGCATCGATGGAAATTTTGAGTAAAACATATTTTGCAAATAAAAAAAGATATCATTTTTCTGCTGAACACGGTTCACGGGTGGTATGACGTGCTGTCATACCGGGAAAGCTACTGAATCAATTCAAGTTCGTTGGCTTTCATTGATAGGCCTGCTCGGAACACTCCTAGTCAGATAACTTCAGATACCTTTATTTTCGTTTTGTTTTGCACTGAGATAACGGTTGCTTTCACCTTTGGCGATATAAAGTGCGATGAGGTCCACAACTGTTCACACCTGTGCGGTTTTAGTATTGAGTAGTCTTTTCTCTTTCAAATGTCGACCGCGGACATGCCCCGAGTACTGCATGAACATATGAACAGTCTTGAGAAGCAAGGGTGCGAGAAGTCAAGGAGGGGCATGAAAAGAAAAAAATGTGTCCTTGTTAAAGGCAATAGAGGCTTTTGTAAAAAAAAAAATTCTCTGATAATCCCACCGAGAAGATGGCACATTTTGATGAAATGCAGATCATACGGAGTTAGCTCTAGGTCAATTTAAGTACAAGATCTGTGGCACCAAATCAAGGACTTTTAACTGAAGAAAAAAGGAAATATTATTGACGACGCAGACTTTATTCTAATGACCAGCTATACGTTCGTTTAAAATCGAACATTTAATGTAAACTTTCTAAAGTATACCGTATTTTTATGCAAAAGGTAATTTGCTAGGACCCAGGAGAGCCCAGATTCGTTCTCGTGACATCCGGGACACGATTCAGGGGCCCGGTCGTTGTGCCTCATCCGGGATTCGAACTCATGACTTTGCGTTGCCATGGTTGGTGGCGCTTTGAATATCTCATTTGCATCCAAGCACGCTACCGACTGCACCGTGACAGAACCGCCCACCCTCCGTAGTTACGAGTTTCCTCTTATAGTAACCAATTGGAATTTTTAAAATTTAATTCTGGGAAAAAAATTTTCTGTACTAGATGGGTCTCGAATCAGCGTACATGTGTCCGTTTGATTACGAGACAGCAAAGCTACCACGGAGCCAAGTTAGCTTCGATGAAATGTGCTGATCCGATGGAAACTTTCGACCTTGCCACGGAGAGGGCCAGGTTGGATGTACATGTGCATATCTGCTATCCCAATCGAGTTTGCTCGGAGTTTGATTTTGGCTTTACCCATGATATCAAAGAGTGCAATGGGAACGAATCAATTCAAGTTCGTTGGCTTTCATTGATAGGCATGCTCGGAACGTTCCTAGTCAGATAACTTCAGATACCTTTATTTTCGTTTTGTTTTGCACTGTTTAAATTAGTTTTTGATTTTTATAATTTTGTTGTCCACAGTGCCCTGCGTCTGCCATTTCACTCAGTTATTGTAACGCCAGCAAGTCAGTACACCTATAGTTCATAGCTAGGACCCGTTGTTATAAGATAATGTATGCTTGTCCTTAATCATTCCATAAACAAGTACTTGCAAAACTGGTAAATTTCGGAATTTTTTAAAGATACATTTGAACAATCTTTTAGTTTCGAGTAGTTTCGTCAAATGCGACTTGAAAATATGCAGAGCCACATATCAATTGCTGTGCAGCTGGCGAATATACCAGTAGTATTTTTTAAACATTAATAATGTTAGACACGGTATCTATAATAAAAAGCACTATTTCTAACAATTTACAGCTGTGAGGTGATCATTTGTAAATAAAAGTACATGGAAATGGGGTGGGACAACCTTTTTGACCAATGTTGTAATGCAGGCATGTACATGTGCATATGTATATGTACTCTTATGTCAGTTAAGCTGAGAATATAACCCTTTATTTTTTTACATTTTTAAATATTAAAAACCCTTTAAACATTGAAGCACTGCTATCTGCAGTTCCAGCATGAAAAAAAACGTGAAAAAAATTTAAAAAGTGCTCAACACTGCATGATTTTTGTCCTGATGGTATACTATTCCCAGTTAATATGTAATGATATTCATGTAATGTATTTTGCATCAGAAAAGTTGATGCGAGTGCGTATAATTGGTCATCAGTTATGGCCAAATATGTGTTTCCATCACATCAAAGTAAATGTCAGTTTTACAGCATAAAAAAACACCACATGCAATAACCTGTATAAGACTTCAAAGGATACTCTTAATCTGCATAGACGCCTTCACCTTAACTGTATACGCTACTGAGTATATTCCATCTCTATGTCACGAAGGGCCAATTTATTTATTACTGCAAATTTTTTCACGATATCTTCCGCTCTGGGACGGTTGTCACTTTTGGCATCCCAGCATCTCCGCATGAGAGAAAGCCACCTTGCTACAGGCCGAAGATGCCCGTTGCAATCGGGTCTCCAGCCCCGTTCAACCACGGCAACCCTGAATCTTTCCTCGTTAAAAGTATCACCGCCACCAGTGTAATACACTCGCCTGCCATACCAGAGCTCCCACAGCAAGAGCCCGAAGCTGTAGATGTCACAACTCTTGTTATATCTCACGCAGCCACTGCCGCCAGACCACAATTCTGGTGCCCAGTAGAGGACAGTACCTGTCTTTCCTGTACGCAAGACGGTCTCTCTCTTTGCTTCACCAACGTCGCAGATTTTTACAACTTTTCTGTTGTTAATCTCCGTGATCTGTAAACAATAAGCTTTTTATTGTATAGTAATAATTATTGTTTTAAATCGAACCCACATAATTATTTAAACTTCTTTTTGTGAACAAAAGACCATTGTAACTTTTATACCTGTTTTTAAATTTTGTATTTTTGTTGTTGTTGTATTTTCATCATATTCACTAAGAAGCATGCACTAGTCAAACTAACATAAACTCAACAGAGCAACAAGTGTACACTAATTAATAAACATGTAAAGAATGTACCACATAAATCTTTAAAAAAAAAACAGATGTTATGAATCGTACCAAAAAGTTTTCAGCTTTGATATCTCGATGGGCAAGTCCAACATCATGTAAGTATTGGATAGCGGTAGCTGCCTGTATCGCGTAATCCGCCGCGTACCGGATGCCGGCTAAGCGTTCCTTGTTCCCCACACCTTCAAATGTAATGACCCAAAATATGTGATGTTAAATTTTATAAGCCAGGACAAATTAAACTGGATAGAGTAATCGATTAATAGTTCTTTAACAAAGACGTTATAGTAAAGTCAAGGAGCAATTTTTACCATCCGTAAAGCACTTTTAAACAGTTAAGCATATAGGCATTGTGTTTTTTAAAATAATCATAACCAATCAAATTTCACATTATTCATTTCCAACTCAAATCTTTTAATTGTTAATAATAATAAAAAATAATAAAAAAAAACATAAAACTTTGCATAATATAATAAAAACGATAAAACCTTGCATAGTCCCTGGAAGCAAATTGGAATCGTTAGTGATGACGTCACGTAGTGATCCCTGGTTACACCATTCCATGACCAGGATTAAATAGTAGAGGTCACCGGTGATGTATTTGGCCGAACCATAATACTGGACAAAGTTTGGACATCCAGCTCTGGTCAGCTGTCTAAAGTAATACTTGCATGGCTGATTATTGCCTTTTCAATAAATTAACTACAAAAGCAATGTGGTTCTATAAATATGGAGTGCCAATTTCATAAGATCTGTTTAAACTGATAATTAACCTGCGTGAACATGTACTTCTCTCTCAAATTGATTATTTTTGACACATTTAATGGAGGACGCTCACAGGTAAAGTCACCACGGAAAGATTCAATGTACACTACCTCATTCTTTCACATTCTTCATAAATGTCAAGGTCATTTGGCAGACGACTATCGACGTCCAGTGCCTCCTTCACCACTTTGATCACCACGGGGTAGGTGGTGTTGTCAGGTTTTACGATATTGGCTAGGTAAACCTTCCTATACCCTCCGTCAGATACCGGGTTAGTGGTGTACAGTAAATTAGGCCAGTCGGCAATGTCCGTAGCTTGAAATTCATGTTGCCACACTTGGCCTATATAGAAAGTCTGAATCTGTCGACTTAAACTTTCTAGCTTTGTTCGCTCTTCTTGCAGTTTGGCGGTGCTTTCGGTGAAAGTTTCGTCCTGCTTGAGACGACGTAAAATTTCAAGGTTCCCATCTATCCACTGCAGGATTGGTTGGTAGGTGATGTTGATTTCGTTCCGACAGCCCTGAAGGGCGTGACGGGAAAGGCGGTCCAGAAGAGTTGATTGATTGGTTTTTACCCTTTCTACGTAGTTGTCCAAACATTTGGCCATGTATTCCTGCATACCGGGGTTTGGCTGTGGTTGATGAAGCGAGAAACTCTGGCGGGATGGTGTGAATGGCGTCTCAGGTATACTCTCTTCAAACAAGTCTGCAATGTCGCCGGGATCAACAAACATGGTTCGCTTGGGGCAAGGATCGTTGAGAAGGTAACTTTCTATTATTTGCAATTTATCTACGAAGTGCACCGATTCTTGTTTCAAAGATTGGTGAAAATCTCCCTTAAGGGTCTCGATCTTTTCTCGATATCTCTCGTTGTTGGTTGGGTGCAGGTATTCCACCAGTCGTGTCTGTAACTTGGCACTGATTTCCTGTTTTACGGTATTCCATGTGCGCCCTGGTCCCGGGGGGTGAGGACACGCTGCCTCAGACCACACATTTAAGGCATGTGCTTCCTCCGTGTCTGCTTCTAAAGCACCGCGGAATTCAGCAACCAAAATCGACTGTAGCTGTTTCAAAGCCCCTTCTTTAATTTTTTGCGACTTTTTTACCTCTTCTTGCAGGTTTTGAAATCTTTTGCTTGTTTCTTGTATCCTGCGTGTGCGCACTTCAGGTTCGTTGTAAAGTCTCTTCATATTAATGCCAACAGAACATACATATATGCCGTCATCGAGTACATGTTTTAACCACCTAAAAAAAGTAGAATTATAAGTTTAAAGTTTTTAAGATTATATATAAACGTGATACACACTGTATAGTGTAAAGCAAATATACAAATAAAGCACGATTTTGAAGATTTATTTTTTGCCAGTGTTTATCAGTTTGGCCTATCTGGCTATACAGAACGGGCTGGTGGGGCTTTAGTCGGCTGGGCCGTTGTCATGATCGCCACCATAGTCTTATATTATATTCTTAAACTCTACCGAGGCTGATTAATACCCTTAGAGGCTGCCATAATTGAGGTAGGTTTTGCGCATGTGCTTTCAAACCATCCAAAATAAAAATAAGGTCTACTTAAGACAATTGACAAGCTATTAGCAAATATCTTAAGAAAGAGAGATGCGTCACTATAAAAAAAGCCAAATTTAATGCAATAGTTTTACATTTGCCTTCTTCTTTTCCTAGTACTTTCACTGCCTTAATTGAAACTTACTGGCAGTAGTGTTCTATTTGGAAGAGAACGGCGTTTGGAAGAAGATCAGCAATTGATTTAACGACATCCATGAACACTTCGTGTTGTTCCCCCCGTGCGTGAGTTTCTTTCACCTATATGATATAAACGAAAAATACTGTAGCATTTTGTGACTATGCAAAGATCAGTTCAATGTTCTCAATGACATCAAATGTATCGCACAGAAAGTTGCTACTGCTTTGTTTGATCTACACAAATTCAAAATTGATCGGCTGGCAAAAAAGAAAAAAAGTAAACATCTAAGAGTTACCAATGCATGCACTTAATTGAACTTAAACTGAGAAAATTATAATCGTATCCGTGGGTTCTCGTTTCCCTGTCTATTCTCTGCTGCCAATTATAATCATACCTGTTTCGTAGAAACATGAAATACACGGCTTGATTGTAAACCTGGCCAAGAATCTTGTAACTTCTCAAAGGTGGTCCTAGAAACGGTGTCCTCTTCCGCCTCCGGGACGAGGTCCCATTTGTTGCAGATAAATATTGCTGATTTTGGATTGAACAGCCGAGAGCGATTGTGAACCGCCATACCTGACACCTTACACATAAGCTTGGCCAGCTGAAAGACAAGTGCACCGTACATACAAACTATGATTAATTTCACTAAAATAGATATTAGTGTATATACCAATTGAAAAGTTATCTTTTTGGAACAAAATATTTCTCAATTCCATGTAAAGGTTTCACAATGAGTGCACCTCTGCTGAAGAGCATATTATACTTCGTGAATTAAACTTTCTATGCAGTTCCCTTGCCCGTGTATACTTACTAGTGATGAAAAGGAGGAACATTAGAGGTAGGCTGACACAAATTCAACTTATGAAAAATCAAGACACGTACTCACAGAGTATAATGTATTTATAAGTAATAGGTAAATTGAAGAATGAAAATCGTATGTAGAGATTCGTGAAGCGCCAAAAAAGAAATGTATCTACCACACAGTAGCACAATTAAAGTGGCCAGTCGAAATTATAAAATTTCCATAACTAAATATTTGCTTATTATTTAGAATTCATTAAACATACGTACCCCCTTCTTAGCCACGCCGTGTGGAATAGCCATGTTGACAACGTAAATGAAAGTGAAACAGCTGAGAGTGTATTCAGCAAGCCTGTGAAATGTCTCCACATCTTCAGCGACTTGAAAACCAGGGCTGTCAACGAAGGCGACAGTGACCGGTTCCCCATTCTAAAATGTAGGGTCAAGAGTGCTATGATCGATGACATTTACTAATTTAGACAAAAAGAGAGAGAGAGAGAGAAGAGAGAGAGAGAGAGAGAGAGAGAGGATCAGTGCAAGTTTTGTGATGTAAAAAAACACAAGCCTAATATTTTTTAAGGATATCATATAATTTTTTATCTCCTTAACCGGTTTGTTCAAACCAAAGAACTTAATATATCATTTTGCTGAATTTAAAGAAAGTAAACTGGTAAACAAAATATCTATATATCCGAAGGAACTAGTTTTCTTAGTGGTGAGACCATCATCAGCATATATACATGTATATACTAACCGCCAATAAAATTATTCCTGCGAGACATTCCTATATGATTTATTATCAAAGTTATTATTGCCAGTTCAACAAATGTCCTTGTTAACTGACAGTTTTGTGACTGTATACCTTTACCATGGCAAAGACAGCCAAATGAAGTCACATACATGTATTTTCATAATTTGACGTCAACAACAAATTAATTTTGTTACCTTAGGGAAAAAATATTCGAACGAATTCATTTACAGTCAGCATCTAAAAAAAAAAAAATTACCCCGTTTTCATCGTTTTCATCTGCTGCCTCATCATGTTGAAGTTGGTTTTCACTGACGTTACCCTGATAATAAGAATGAAAATAACAATAAGACATACGCACTTTCTATTCAGAATATGCAGATTGTAGTATTGCGTAGATTGCAATCAAAATAATCAGCTTAATTATCTGTCACGCCTCTTCGGGCAGCTATAGGGAGATATTTTAATTTCGTGTGCACTCAGTAGGGGTGCACGTTAGACAATTAAGCTGATTAAATCGAATGCGTTTTAATAGATATATCGATCCATCGGGTGCAATGCCTGAATCTGAATGCTCCTTTAAAGTGGTCGGAACATGATTACAAAAACGGGATGCGTAACTTTTCTAAAGCTTACTGAACTCCAAATAACGTAAAAAATCATTTCTTATTACCATAAGTATGGGAAGAGGATATTTGATTTTCGCCTTTTCAAACGGCATGAAAGGCGGCTCGTTATTGATCTTTACTCCTTGCACGTAGTCTTGGAACGCCGATCTGTCCTCCTCCTTGCTGAGATCTAATGTCACCGCCTGACCGCCACTCGGACGCAAGATGGCTGCCGTCTTCTTGACGGGATGGTGGATTATTTCACAAAACATTCGTGTACTTTTCTGGTAGGCTTCCGGTAACACGTCTTCCCCCATTAAAGCATTGAGAAAACTACTTTTTCCAGCTGACAGTTCTCCTATAAACAAATATAATGTTATTAAAAATTGAATCATTCTTCACAAAATATCGATATTTCGTACCATCTTTAAATGAATTCGTTGCATTATCTGTGCCTTATTATTATTATTATTGTTATTATTATTATTATTTTAATTCGATTAAGGTAAATGTACTACAATGACTGCTTTCGTTGTCTTTCAGATTCCCTACTAGATATTCCACCAAATACGTGTAGGGGAGACCGGGGCTAGTTGGCCCAGTTAGACACTTTTATGCTTGTAGAGCCAACTGGGAACGAGTTAGAGAAAGCTGGCCCCTGGATCGGGGAAAGTTCTCATGCAGTAGATATCCATTGTAAATGCCATGAAATACATTTTACAAATGTTTATTTTATTAAATTGAATTTAAGGAGTCTTCGCTGAATAAGTAGTTCAAATGAGGCAGATATATTAATAGTAGACTTGTTAAAGGGCCAAACGCTGCATTTCATAGTACAAATGTCTAACTTGGCATAAATGTTCCTTCGGCCAAAAGAAGATTTTTTATCCAAAGAGACACGCTCTATCGATGCAAAAATTATTTAACAAACCATTGGCTTTGTTTTAACAATTGTCTATAGCTCTGTTGCACGCAAAAGATTATGGTCTGTATGAGGGTCCAATTTGCCCCGAGTCAAGGGGGCAACCAGTCCCGGGTGCACATCTTTTATTTTAAAGAATTGTAGCCATTTTTGGTGCTAGAATGGACTAAGATGATACATTTCTATGAAACTTGAAACAATAAGCCTCGTTTTGATGCCCTATACATAAATATGGATTATATTTGATCAAAAGCCTATGAAAAATGGATTTTAAAATCTCTTTCATAAAGTTACTTTAAGGTGTACAATTCTTTCATTTGGATTCACCGCCTAAATAAAACTATTTTATGATCGACGTTTCTTGGCATTATTGAAACGGTAACTTTACAAAATAATGTGAGGATGTTTTTACTGCGTAGTTACTTTTTCATAACTTGACGGATGGCCAACTTACCCCGGGGTCCAACCAGCCCCGGTCTCCCTACCTGCAACGAAAATTTTGAATTCGCCTTGTCGCAAGTCTCTCATCATTTTTCTGATTCGGCTTCGATACTTCGTGCGTAGACAGTTCAGATTAAATCGAGTGCTCTCTTGGAAAGTCTGAAACATTCTATCGGCTTCCACGTAGAAATTTCTACAAAAATTTACCACGTGTCTTTGGTCGTTTAACGTTTTCTGGAGATAGGCATTTGGTGCCATGATTGGTCTGGGTCGTTCCTATAGAACAAAATAGTTGTTGCCATATAACCCTTTGATTTTCAATACATTTTCTAAATAAGTTGTGTCATGACTTTGAGCAACATCTTTGCTATTCTAATAAATTGGAAGAACCATTCGTTTATTAATGAGTCAATGATTTCACATGAAACTTTATGCCATCCAAGTATTATGAGAGCCGAAATCAATGGATATGTGGTAAAACGCTGTAGTCGTATTGCCAAATACCTGGAAGGTTTAATGAAAAAATATAAACAATTGGTAAGTCAATTTCCGAACTAATTCATTTGAGTGGCAGAGATATTGATCAAAGTCACAAGACATTTTAATTTTGATACGCAATGAAAAGAGTTATATTTTGGGGGAATTCTGCAAGTGCGCCTTAATAGAAAAAGATTAAGACAGAAGTACGTTGTGTGTAAAAGAGAATAAAATTTGACGCAGACACGAACAAGAATATGAAATCGGGATCATAAAATGAAGGATTTTTAATTGAATATGGATGGGAACATTGGTATAAGATGAAAAAGAGAGAGAGGTGGGGATGGAGAGGGCCAATGGATGTTTCTACCCTACGTGCCATGTTGTCCTGTACTGTATGTAGTAGGCAGGCAGATTATCTAGCGGCACACCAGTTTAAATACAGCAAAATTGTTTGTATTGACGCTTTTTGCATTTGTTTCACGTTGAGGGTGATTAGACAACAAATTATTTATATCTCGCTGAGTACTAAAGAATTAGAATAAAAGTACAATACTTACCTGTTTTGTGGACGATTGCAACCCCATGCGATACGCACCATCAAACTGACTGCAGAGCTTCTCCCAAGTGCGGCTCAGTTTGGAATATAGCAGGTAGAGAGACCAGAAAAGAACCAGAGGGATGGCCAAAAAGGCAACCACGAGACTCAGCTCCATGGCTGTCAAATGTAACATGTAGCTTGACCAGCGCCCAGCAAATTTAAAGGGGCCACTATACTAGTTGTACATATCTGCAACGATATGAAAGTAGGACATGGACCACATCAAACAAAAGGATCGCTTTGAGCAGGGGCTTGATTTTCATTTGTAACAACTTATTACATTTTATCAGTTTTTCATGGAAGAAATGCATTCATATACCTGAATGGACCAGTGGTGTAGCAAATGGAGAATGCTAATTAACTACAAGAAGACAAAATGTGTACATTATAGACCAAGACATAGAGAATGTGCTGTAGATTTTGTATATTTTGGAGGTCACCATATAGAATGGGTTGATAAGTATAAATATATGGGGGCTTATGTCGAAGAATTTTTAGATT